CTTTGGACTTAAGACCAATCTGTATTCCCTTCTGAGGTTTCAGATGTGGGTATATTGATAATGTCATCATCTCCAGAATTTGTGTTTTGATCTCCCCTGTCACCAAGATACTTTTCTATGGTCATTGTTTTTCTATGTTGGTTCTTGCTCATGTTGTTTGCTTTTTTTCTGGCTTTTAAAGCTGATCTCTGCTTCTGGGGCACAGGGTGCACTATCCCAGGCTTCTTGTGCTGGGGGTTAGGGACCTGGTTACTGGAATGTTGAGGTGGGGCTTGCCACTGGCTTGCTGGTATGCTTCCATTCCTGTATTGGTCCCCTTCAGCCACAGCAAGAGGGACCTTTCCTGTTAATCCCCCTAGATTCAGGAGCTAAAAGATTGTGTATCTAGTCTTTCTGCTGACTCTACTTTTCAGGATTTTTCCTGGGGCAGCATTCTCTGGGTTTTTCAAGGTCAGTAAGGGAGGGTGAGCACTACTTACTGCTTACTTTTCCATCTTGGCTCCCAGAAGTCGAAATAGGTGGCTTTCAAACATTCAGTCTGTGAGCTAATAGCTCCAGGAGCAGTGCTTTTGCTGATGCTACTGCCCCTGATTCAGTCACTCCCAAGGCCTTTTCCTGGTTTGCTGGTACCAGGGCTATGTTGCACACACTGCTGCTCTGCGCTGGAGTGCTTCTCTCTCTCCCAGTTCAGATAGACCCCTCCAGCTGACCTTAAGTTGTCTCTGGTATCTGTGGGCTAAGAAGACTGGAATGTGCCACTGCTGCTGGTGATTCAGTACCCTGAAGCCTGCTCCGTCTTTGCTCAGGTTAGGTCTATGCTGGGTCCTGTGTTCTGGGCACTCTTCTCTCAGACCAGTGAAGCAGACCTTTCCTGTCCACCTTTCACGTTGTCTTGGGCTGGAAATCTGCTTCACTCTGTCTCTTTGTGGGTTCTGCCACTCTAGAGTTTGTTCAGAGTTACTTTTTAGAGGTATTTGAAGAGATTTGGGGGAGAGCTCAGGCTAGTCTCTGCTTTCACTCTGCCATCTTGGCTCCGCCCTCCAAAATGCTGAAAGTTTTATTCTACTAGAAGTTGAGGCAAGTGTTAGAAGTTTAATAAGACTTAGGGCACTGAAGACAATTCCTTTACAGCAAAGTAAAGAAGTTCCTTAATATGCTTAATGTCTATCACATGTACTCACTGATAGTAGTGAGTAAACCCATGTAGCAGCTCGGTCCAATTAATGTTTTTCTTTCATTTGGCTTATGCTAGAGTTAATTGTATTCTGTTGGATCACTGATACTGTCTCATGTATCAGTAATGATACATCTTCCTTGAAGCTCCCTCCATGAAAATTTACCATCTTAATTTATCTATTAGCTCCCAGTTTAGTCTCTGTCCTTGGCTCCCTGGTCTCCTTGTTCTATCACTACCATCTGCCTTCTCTGCTCCTATTGATATGCTGTTAAATGCAGCTGGAGGAAGTCATTTAACTGCATGCAGATTAAGTCTGCTACAAATTTATCTTGTTTAATCTCAATGGGACCCTAGGTGATGTACATTAATACTTTTCCTGATCTGTTCTGGCATAATCACTGTGGCTCTCTTTGCTTACCATTGCTACTTCCAAACTTTCCAACTACTATCATCATTCACTAACCTCTCCTCCTTTGAGGTTCATTCAATACATGTTTATTACCCAATCAAAATTCTGATAGCTGATATATATCAATGTCCAGAGCACTCTTTCTATCCTCAGTGAATATAGTGACAGTTCATATGCCAATTCCTGCCCTCATTGTTGGGGAATTCAGCATAGGTAATGGTATTCCCTCAAACGCCCTAACTTCCCTGTTCCTTGATATACTCATTTCCCACAGTCTAGTTTTCTATTCCATCTAAGTTATATACAGATATGGTAATATACTTGGTCTTCTTGTTACCCAGAAGTGTTCATTTCCATGTACATAAACTCTGAAATTATTTTATTGGATCACAATCTTTTATCATTCTATCTTTCCTTCTGCCTTGTAACCGCTAAACTTATTTATACTCAATGTAATGTCTGGTTTCTTCAGCCCTCAGTTCTTTCCAAGGCAGTCATTCCTATATTGGCTGTACTCTCTTCTCCTCCCCATTTGGAACCCTTGGTGAACCAGTTCAACTTCATACTATCTTTTACCCTGGAGTCTCTTGTCCTCTTATCTTGTTCCTGATCTTGCATTGCCAAGACCTATCTTTGGATTGCTTTCACCATCTTCTATTTTTGCTTCTATTCGTATGTTACTGAACAAAGCTGGAGAAAACTCAAAAAACTGGACTGATTAGATCCACTCCAAGTGTATGTTGTATAATCTCAACTGAGTCCTCATTGCAGTAAGGCAGTCTTTTATACCTCCCTAATTTATTCCCTATCACACCCACCACAGCAACTATTCCAAAACTTTTCATCGCACCTCAAACCTCTCATGGCATCCCCTTCCACTACCACCTCAGCTGAGGACCCTATTTAATACTTAACTGAAAATATTGAGACCATTTACTAAGAACTTCCTCTTCTTTCCTCCTCATCTTCCATTACTCAGATGTCTCTCCCTACTATCTCTTCCCACATCCCTGTCTCACATGAAGAAGTGGCCCTTCTTGCTAAGGCAATCTCATCTCCATGTGTCCTTGATCCCAATATGGCCTTTCTGCAGCATCTTGCCCACCCTGCCCTCATCATCCCTATACTCTCACTAATTTTCACTCTCTCTATGGCCTGCTTCCCCATTGCCCACATACACCCTCATTTATCTCTCCTACCTTCATCCTTAAAAAACCTTAACTTGATTTGACCATCTGTACTAGCTCTCATTCTGTATGCCACCTACCTTTTGTGGCTATACTCCTTGAGAAAGCTGTCTACAATTAATGCCTCCATGTCCTCTCCTCTTATTCTCGTCTTAACTTTCTGCAGTTTGGCTCCTGACCTCATAACTCAACTGAAATGCCTTTTCCAAGATTACAGTGATCTATCAATTGCAAAATCTAATGGCCCTCCTTTCATCCTTTTTGATCTTTCTGCAGCCTTTGACACAGTTGACTATCCTCCTTTCCTGGATACTCTGATTTTTTGTTTTTCATGACTCCTCTCTCCTGGATCTCTTGCTATGTGTCTGACCCCTTCCTTCTCAATCTCATTTCCTAGATCTTCATCTAGGGCATACCCATTAAATGTGGATGTCCCCTAAATGTCTTTCTCTGTCCCTTTTCTTTTCTCCCTTTATTCTGTATCCCTTAATGACATATGGATTTAATATTCATCTCTGTGCAAATGATTCTCAAATCAGTTTACCCAGCTCTAACTTCTCTCATGACCTCCACTTTTGCATCACCAGTTGCCTATTGAATATCATGAACTGGATATCCCATAAAAATTTAAAGCTAACTTTGTCCAAAAGCAGAATTCATTATTTTTCTTCCCAAACCCTCTCGCCTTCTGAAGTTCCCCATTTCTGTTGAAAGCACTGCCATCTCCTTGTCATCAGAGTCACAAGCTAGGTGTCATCCTCAACTCCCCACGTGCACTTACCAGACCAATGTTCCCATCATCTCACACCTGGACTATTGTACAAGTTTACTTTTCTCTGCCTTTCCCTGATTGACTTGCCCTGGAATCTCTTCCCACCCCACTTGATCCTCTGCTCAGCTTCCCAAATGATTTCCCTAAAGTGCAGATTTGACCATTATCACTCTGCTGCTCAGTAAATGCCAGTGGCTCCCTGTTACTTCCAGGATAAAATATTAAATCGTGTTTGGCATTTAAATCCTTTCACATCCTGGCCCCTTCCTGTCTTTCCATTCTTCTTACATGTGATGCCACTCCTCTTTTTTGGTGACTCTGGTCTTGCTGTTTCTTGCATGACACTCCATATCTCTTCTCCTTGCCTTGCACTGGCTGTCCCCCATGCTCGGGATGCTCTCCTTCCTCACTTATGTCTCCTGACTTCATCTCTGGCTTCCTTCAACACTCATCTCAAATCTCACTTTGTGTAAGAAACCTTTCCCATATCACCATCCCCCAGCCCCCACTGCTAGTATCTTTACCTCCTATTTACTTTGAATATATCTTTTATGTATGTAGTTGTTTTCATGTTGGGTCCACCATTAGTATGTGAGCTTCTTGAGGATAGGGCCTATGTTTTTGTCTTTCTTTATATCTGAAGCACTTAGTGCCTCACACATGGTGCTTAAAAAACATTTGTTGATTCACTGATTGTTAAATTTGTTGGTCTTTTCTTAACCCTCATCTTTCTTGTCCTTTCTTCAAAGGCCTCCATAACCTGGTCCTTTCCACCTTCCTTTTCTTAAACCTTAAACACCACCACTCCTCTCACCATGTGTACTTTGCTGTCCAGCCACTTTGGCTTCCTCGTTGTTCTTCTTGCAAGTTGCTCCATATCTTGACTCCAGGCTCCCATGACTAGAACTCTCCCTCCTCATTGCTGTCTCCCAGCTTCCTTCAAGTCTCAGCTCAAGTCTTGACTTCTACAAGAAGCCTTTCCTGAACCCCTATCATACTGGTGCTTTCCCTCTATTGATTATCTCCAATTTATCCTGCATATTTCCTTGTTGTAGATAGTTATTTGTATGTTGTCTTCCACACTAGATTGTGAGCTCCTTGAAATCAGGGATTGTGCTTTACTTTTCTTTGTTTCCCCAGCAAGTGGCACCTTGCGTGGTACATAGTAAGTAGGCACTTAAAAATTGACTGACTGAAGATGATGGTATCATATTCACTTGCTCTACAGATCCTAATTTCTTCATTTTACACAATAGCTAACAATAACTGCTGGGCACCTGTGTGTTAGTGTTGTGTGCTTCAATTATAATACTCTTCCATTTCATCTACTTGAGAATTTCTTAAGGGTAAGCAATTGATTTTTTTAGTTGAAAGGTAAACTATTCCTTTTATAATTTAGTAAATAGTAAGTCATTTTGAATGAAATATGTACAGTAATGACAAATTGTTTTTCAGTTACTGAAGATCTTATTAGGCGAAATGCAGAACATAACGACTCTGAAATTTTTTCCTTGGAGGAACTCTCCTTGCACCAACAAGAAATTCAAAAACTAGAAAATATTGACAAATGGTGTCAGGATTTAAAAATTCTCTACCTTCAAAACAATCTCATTGCAAAAATTGGTAAGTTTTTGATAATTTTATCTCAATTTCTTTAGCATTTTTGAATTAGAAAACTTTCTCAAAGGAAGAATCAATCTTTTATGTAGAATAAGAAAATAGAGCTCAAAGCACAAGCCTAGACAACTCTTTTATTCAGGGATTGATTACTGAATTTATTATCTCCCTTTGCCATCCATTAATCAGTTCAGCTGTATGTCGTATCTTCCATCAGAGAGTTTCCAAAGGTAGAAAAATAATATGAATCTCATTTGGTATTTGTAGCCTTGAGTTTTTGATGTGACTTCATGTAGCATTGGTTGAAAGTTTAGTTATTAAAAAGGATGTGTCCCTGAGGTTAACCAAATGTTTACACCAGTTTATCAGGCCAAGGGAATATGAAGGAACTGGGTGAGGTGTGGAATGTCAACAGAAATAGTAGCAGTTCTTTGATTGTCACAGAATACTTTATTGTTGTTATTATTATTATTATTAAGTTTATTGCCCAAATGAAAATGGAAATGATGAGAAGCAGGAAGTGTTTATTAAGCAGCTAAGATGAGCTATTATCTTTTTAAAGCTCTACACAGATGGTTCGTTATGGAGTGGAGGTGACTAATTCTCAAAGATTATGCCAGTGTAGGTTCATATTACTAAGCTGTGGAGGTTTTGGATATGAGTTCTGCAACAGACTTTATAGTAAATATACATACATACATACATACACACATATGCAGCATAATGTGTATACACATGTATGCACATGTGTATATATGTATTTCCATATACAATGTACATTATATGTATAATACATTCTGTGTGTGTATACATATAATATATATACATGTGTGTATATATGTATATGTGTGTATATATATATATATATGTATCTGTGTGTGTGTTTTCTGAGGACCAGTGTTTTTAAGTTCAAAGAGGCTTATCACTAGGTTAATCACTGGTTTGTCACAGCAACTTAAGATCTTACTAATACACAGAAGGGGGTGAGTTGCCTTTTTTTTTTTAATTAATGAGGGAGTACCATCATTAATAATATATCCTGGAAGTTGTTGTATAAAGTATGTGTTAGGCACTTGAGGTTATATGAAGACAAGTAAAAAAGCTTACTGTTTCTCATGAGGCTTACAGTCCAGTACAGGAAGTCAGATAAGTAGCTAAGCTAAGATAAATGGAATCCAAATTAGAATATACATACATAATATATCAGGTGTGCTATTAGAATATAAATGTAGTGAGATCAGATGAGAGAAGTCACTTCCAGCTGGTGGGGTTGGGGAAGGCCCTCTAGGAGAAAAAAATTTCATATGGGTCATGAGTACTCATTATGTCCCAGGCAAGTCACACTGGTGAATACACGCAAAAGAGATGGTTGCTATATCAGTATACATGGAGTATACAGATGTGTGTGTTAGATATAAACACAAATAATTACACAGAAAAGTTCATTATTAAATCATAGTAAGTGAAGAATGAAATATTTTGTTAGTTCAGGTGAGGAAGCAAGGATTCCTGTTGAGGTTGAGAACAGGGAAGGCTCAAAATGTCACCTGTGCCACACATGTTAACAAGTATGCTGTGGGTTCTGACTATTAGTGTAAATATTGACTTATGAGAGAGGTTTTGGGGTTTTGTAGAGTGTGAGGTATATACAGTGAGAAATTTTTAAATTTAAGTTTTTCTGTTACTATTGTCATATATGAATAATTTAGAATTGTTTCCTGAAAACTTAGACTTTGCATTCCTTTTTACTAGACATTGAAATCTTCCAGATTTCTTTAGATAATTATTTCAAGGATCTTTACTAGAAATTAGAAGTTCTGGCACATAGTTGAATTAAAAGGCTGTTACATCAAATCACCAGCCTTTATGCATTGGGACATTGAAGTTTAGTACTAATTGTACAGATTTAAAATAGTTTCTCAGTTTCTTCATTTCCACAGCTGGCTCTTTTAAAACTAATAAACAGTACGAAGCCTTTCTAGAATTGTTGAAAAGTTTCAATTTTTGCTTTCAAATATTTTTAACTACACAAGTTTTTGTTATTTTTCCTTTGCATAATGGGGCTCTTTTCTTAACCCTCTTGAATCTGGTTCTGTCCCCTCTGTTCCAATAAAACTATACTTTTAGTGATCATTTCAACCCTAAATCCTATGATAAAGGCCTTTCTAATCACCAGAATAGAGCAGTGGTCTATTATCATTATTCATTTTCTTTGACTGTTCTGTGGCATTGACATGCCCCTTGGCTTGTCATACTACCTTGGATTTACTTCTACATATGTAATTATTCCTGTATTCCTAACGCACTCTTTTGACTTTCATACACACAGAGTCCTTTCCCCATTTTGGATATTTTTCTTGGTTCTCTCCATTTTTCTCCACTACATTTTTTTACTTAGGTTATTTTATCTAGTTCCCAGCTTTAGCATTCACATCCATGTTGACAATTCCCACTTTTTGTTCTGTAGCCCTAATTTATCACTTGAGTTCTTGTTTTTCATTTCCAGCAGGCTACTTGGCATTTCAACTTCAGTATTCCACAGTAATTCAACATATCTGGAAGTCCAGTCCCTCATCTTGCTTCCCAAACTGTTTCTCCTTCTTACTTTCCTATTTCTGTTAATTTTCTCTGTTACCCAGGATCAAAACTTGAGTTACTTATGACTTCAACCTTCATCTCCCTTCGTATCCACTCAGTCATTACATTCAATCTGATTCCTCCTCACCCCACCATAATGCCTCTTGTATATGTTTCCTCTTCTGTTTTCACTTTGAGAGCCTAAGTTGAGATCCTCATCTCCTTATAGTTCAAAGACAGGGGTTAGAATTCTTGATCTGTTATAACTTGTTTGATCTTGGGCAAGTCACGTGCCTTCACTGGGTTTCAATTTCCTCATCTATGAAATGAAGGGATTAGACCAGATGACTTCTAAGGGCTCTTTCAGTTCTAAATCTTATGTCAGACTATTGCCCACTAGTTGGTCTCCCTCCCTCACTCCTAGATGTATGGATGCATCTGTCTTACTTGGATTGTCTCATGTTCTTCAGAACCCTTCAGTGACACTGTCACCTACAGAACAGATTCCAACTTCCAAGGAAGGTTCCTTAAAGAGGCTAAGATTTTTTGATGAATAGGATCATAGCAGCATTTACCATTAAGCAGTCTATCTGAAGTCTCACTGTTAATTTGGAAGGTACAGAGTTTCTCACTTATATCAGAATTTTCAAATGTCAGTGGAAGTATATTAGATTGTAGGTTATGCCTTCTTATAGCTCTCTGTAATTGGTGATTGCAACATGTAAGTTAAAAATATTTATAGTCATTCAGTGGCAACCCAGGCATAAACTCATATGTTTACTGATTTTATGTGATTTTTAAGCTGAGAAGCAATATAGCGGAAAGATTGGATTTAGGCCCAAAATACCTCACTTCCTGTCCTGACTCCATCATTTACTAAGCTATTGATCTTGTGCTAGTGACGTTACTTCTCTGTGCATTAATGTCATCATTTGTGAAGTGGGGATAATTCTACTTACTTTATTTCTCTCATAGGCTGGTTGTCAGAAAAGCAGTTGATAAGTCATACAGCCCTATGTAAATGTTAACCATTATTACAAGCAAGTAATTCTTTTTATTGTTCAGGCTAACTTCAAAACAAAACTAAGGTACAGTTTAAAAAACAGCTTATCTTTTCATTAAGTGACAAAATATTGTTTACTTAGCTTTTTATGAGCTAACTATGAAAATAATACTATTGATATTTTCTTAAATGAGAACAGTAATGTTTGAAAAATAATGTTTAAACTGGCATTAAGTTACTGTTAAGTAATAACTTATTATTATTTATCACTATTACATTACTAAATGAAGACATTTGTTTAAATCACCATGATAATGAGACATAGGCTGAGGGTCAAATCCCTACACAGATCATTTTATTTACTCTGCTCAACTGCCAGAGATTATAGTCCTAACTCGTAGTCAGCTCTAGAAAATGTTTAGTATCTCTTACAGTGAGGGAAAATAGAGCATGTGGAGGTGGAATACCCACCCACCATCTTTATTTAAAACTGATTCAAAGACTGTGCACTACTGTCACCAAGTTAGTAACTTTAGTTTTGGGTATAAAAAAAAAGACAGCATCTGTTTCCTACCTCGGTGAAGTTAATCTTCCTAAAACATCTAAACTCACATTTTCATTTTGAAGATATCGTGTACTTGTGGGTGCTTAATGAATGTTATAATATTACTTTTTATAGCTATCTACATATTCAGTAGGGAAAATTATGTATGGCTATAGGTGCAAATATTTGCAAGTATCGGGCAATAGTCTGACGTGAGATTTAGAACTGAAAGAGCCCTAACAAGTCAGCTTGCCTAATCCCTTCATTTTATAGATGAGGAAAATGAAACCCAGCAAAGACACATGACTTGCCCAAGATCAAACAGGTTAAACAGATCCAGAATTCGAACTCCTGTCTTTGAACTATAACTACAAACCTAGTGATTTATGTACACTTATGATCTAAAAACGTGCAGTCATAGACTCTTGGCACTGAAAGGGGCCTCAGAGACCATCTAATCCCACTCTTAGCCAAATTGTTAACTCCACCTAGCCGTTAGAGTCTAGCTTTCACTTGAGATCTATGAGAACTAGGAGTTCCCAGCATCCAAGGGAGTCTATGTGTCTAACATTTTTATATTTTATTAAAGTGTTTTCACATGATGCCTCATTTGAGGAAGTATTCTAGTGAATCTTTTATATTTATCTTTTGGCAGAATTTTCTAGCTTTATATTGTCATGTGAAGTAAAATCTGAAAAGCTCTCTATATAATTATTAACTGATATCTTTTAATTATGGATAGAGGTAGCATGATGTCATGGAGATAGTTCTGCATGTGTAGTCAGGAAGACATGGGTTCAAATCACACCTCAGAGACTTCCTAGCTCTGTGATCTTGGGTAAGTCACTTAACTTCTAAAATAAAGTGGTTGAGACTTGGTACTCTATGATCTTAGGACCTAGCTACAGGTTGGAGGTTTTTGTGACAAGGAGTCATGACTCATTCCTCATCCTTAAGCACTTCTCCTGCTGGCTGCAGTGATTTCAGAGATTGCTTGATTTGACCTGTCTGTGCTCACCATTTGATGTGTACAAAAAAGTTGTTTTATAATAAAAACTAATTTAATTCTTGGTTTATTGCAGAAAATATTAGCAGACTAAAGAAATTACAGTATCTGAATTTAGCTTTGAACAACATTGAAAAAATTGAAAATTTGGAAGGTAAGATTTTTCTCTCCAATGTTGAAAATAAATATTTTAAAAACTAGAAGCACAAAGAAATTTGGTTACTAATAAACTTTTAGTATTTTAATAATAATAATTTTTTTACTTTAAAGTATTATTTTTTTACTAACATTTCAGTCATAGACTATTACTTTTCAATACATCTAAGACTTGATGGAGTTTTTCTTGAGCTCCCAGGTTTTTTAAGTTGTTAGGGGCTCAATGTCAGTTGTAGAACTGACCTAAAGCACGACTTCTTGAATTCTTTCATGTCGTGGAATCTTTTGAGAGTTTGGTAAAGCGTAGGCACCTCTTTTTAGAATTGTGTTTTTAAATGCATAAAATAAAATACAATACATAAGATTAACAAAGAAACTAATTGTATTGAAATACAGTTACCAAAACATTAAAAAAGGCAATTTGTTGGTGCAGTATATAGAGTGCTAGGCCTGGAGTCATGAATATCTGAGTTCATACCCAAACTCAGACACTTACTAGCTGAGTATATTACTTAGCTGCTGTCTACCTCATTTTTCTCAATTGTAAAATGATGATAATAATAGTGCCTACTTCCCAGTTGTGAGGATCAGATGCAGTAACATATGTAAATGCTTAGCACAGTGCCTGGCACATAGTAGACACAATATAAATGCTAGCTATTGTTATTCAAAAAATGTACACCCCAGGGTTAGAATCCCTAGAGTTTGGTTGTTGTGTTTTTAAAAATTGTACTTCAAGCATACTGAGTAGAATTATGATGAAACTATATATATGGAAAAGTAATTCAGTATAATTGTAAACCTATAGGTACAGGGTGGTGGTGGTTTTTTTTTAATTTAGTGGGGGGAAGAATGAATTTGATCAACATATGATTTTATAGGATCATAAGATTTAGAGCTGGAAGGGACCAAACTCCTCATTTTACAAATATGGAAACTGAGACCCAGGAAGGTTAAGGAACTTGCCTGAGGTCAGACAGATAGTATCTCCCTTACCAGAACAGATCAGAAAATGTTTGGCGACTTATCTTCTTAGTTGCCTGGAATACTGAGAGGTTAAGAGACTTACATACCCATCCCACAGTCAGTGTTTATCAGATGTAGACTGGATCCCAAGTCTTCTGGACTCAGTCTAGCTTTCTCATCATGTCATGCTTCCTCTTAATATTGATATACTTACCTTTTTATATTACACACACACACACACATACACATATATATATATATATATATATATATAAATAAAATATATACTTATATATTGTTACATTACATTATATAATATATAATATATACATATACATTATATTACATTATATCACATTATATATAATATTTCACATTACATTAATCACATTTAATAGCTTTTATAATTTACAAAGTGTTTTCATCACAGTAACCTTATGAGACCAATAGTGTAGGTATAGTAATGTTTCCATTTTACAGATGAGGAGACCTAGGCATATAGAAGTTACATGACTTGCCCTTGCTCACAGGGAAGGAAAGTGGTTGTGCTAGAACTTGAATTCTGAACTTTGGATTCTTAAATTTAGTGTTCCTCCTACTATAACATATTGCTTCTTTAAACATATTTCTTAAAAATAGGGTATAAACCTATTTTTATGAATTGACTAATACTTTATGCATATTATGATAATTCTCACCTGCCTAACACTTTCTTTTAGGGCTAGCCTCCCTTTTTTTAATGATTATCATCATCATCATCATCATCTTCTTCTTCCTCATTACAAGAAATAAACGTTTATTGATCGTATTCTGGGTCACAACATTGTAGTAGGTCCATGTTAATTTTCCTATCTAGAGTAATCACCTACAGGAGGTAGCATGGTATACTTGGTTGAGTTCTGGAATAGGAATCAGGAGGGACTCATCTTAGCCTCAGACCCTTACTAACTATGTGACCTTTGGGCAAATCACTTAACTGCTCTCAGAATCCTCACTAGTCAAATGATGCTAATAATTACTCCTATTTCATAGAGTTGTTATGAGGATAGATGGGATAATAGAAGTAAAACATCTTAAATCTTAGAGCCATCACATAAATGTGAGCTATTACTACTTTTAACAATGGATTTACTATTCCATCAAAACTCCATTTGTGTTGACGAAAGAATTCAAGAGAAATGTAATACTAAATAGACTTAAATCATAAATAACTTCAAAATGACTATCTAGAAGACTAGAACTTCCCTTTCCATTATGCTATCGTTGCTTTATCTCTTTGCCCCGCAACTCGCACAGTCCCCAATCTCTGTTCTGCATTTTTCCCTTACGCCTGTGCAGGGTGGAGACTTCGATGGCAGAAATGACATTAGCTAGTATGTGCTTTAGACCTATTTACAGTTGGTAGGTAGTCGGTAATGATACATCACTTTATGTTGTAACCTGTCTCATGTAAATTACCTGTTGTTCCCTATGAGATTATACGTTCATTTAAGGCAGACTCTGTTCATATATTAGTAACCTCATTTATCCAGCATTATCAGGGAATGAAGTCTATCACTTTGGGCAAATCACTTTATCTTTAAGCCTTAGTTTCTTCAGTAAATGTAAAATGGATAAAAGAATATCAGTATCTCTACCTAATAAGGTTGTTGTGAATAAACCATTAAATAGTTACCAAACACACCAGAAATGTGAGATACTTTTGTTGGTGCTTTTTAGTGGATTTGTGATTCCTTGATATGGATTCTCTCTCCATCTCACAGATCTCATGTCCGTGTCTTATCCTGTGTAATCCTTGTTAGTATCATTTTCTAAGTCTTCCATAGTGGATATACCTGATGTGTTGGAGGCCTTCCTCTAATTCTCTTAGCGTTTTTAGAGTACCTGTACACTACTTGGGCTTGTTGTCTATTTTTTTTTCCTGATAACTTCCAGCGTACACGTGCTTTGCATCAATAAAGTACTTTATTCCACTTCCTGCATACAGGAAATTGTTGATAACATGTTGCAGCCTGCTCACATCCTCATTATGTCTTTTAATTACTCTTTTAGTCATTTGTTATTTTTTCCCTAAGAGCCTGGTTTTTTAAAAAATGATTTTCTAACCATATAGCATCACTAAGAGAACTCTGGTGATGTGTTTTGTTTGTTTTGTGGCAGTGAACAGTTGGAATCATTGAAATACTGCACAGTTTTCTCAGTGCAGTCCTGTTCCATCTCCCTCTGCATTTCAATTGTGGGCCTTCTTTACTATCCATATAAATTGTTTGACTACCATATAGATATTGATGGATTAACCTGACAGAATGGCCATCCAGGTTCATGTCACAAGCTGGGCAATATGCATCGTTATTGACTTAAGTTGTCTATTGTGGATACTGTACATAAATAAAATCTGTTTATTATTGCTGCAGATTTTATTGAAGAATCTTTGTAGCATTCTTTTTTGCTGCATACTTTGTCATTTAAAAATTTATCTCTACATTCCATTATTTGGCTTCCAGGTGGTTGGGGGATTTCTAAGTTGTTAGAGTCTATCAAGATGATGCAAAATAATTATGTTTCTTATTATTCCCCCGACAATGACAATTGGTAGGAAGGAGACCCAAGATACTTTCAACAGGCAAGAACACTGGACTGAGTCTACTAAAGTAAAATTTCATAGGGACAGATGTAAAAACTTACATTTGGAGTCAAATAATCGATCATATAAGAAGTGTGAAAACGTATGGTTAGACAGAAGTTTGGCAAAAAACTTGGGGGTTTTAGTGGACTGCAAGCCCAGTTTGAATCAAGAATTTTGATTTTTATGAAATTTGAAGGTTTTTTTTGTCACAATTAAAGCGGTGCAGTGAGAATTAAAAAAGAAGCTATTGAATGACAAGAATATTTTCATTAAAAATCTCTGATAGGATAATATCTAAGATTTATATAGAGAAGTGATAAAAATAGAAGACAAAGAGCCCCATTCTAATGGATCAGCAGATAAAAGGATGTGAATATACAGTTTTTCCTGGAGTTATGCTCTTAGTGGGGACATTGAATCTAAAGACCTACCTGGGTAAAAGTTGTATTGACTTGATCTGTGTTATGCCAGATTTGTTGCGAGACCCTGGGTCATGGACTATTTGGGGTATTATAATTATATGTGTTCATATTCTGTTCCTCATTAGGTGGTGATTTCAAATGTGAAGGTAGGAACTTCATCTTAACACAATGTTCTGCACACAAAATACACTAAATTTTTGTTAAAGGAATGAATGACTTTTCAACTTTTGTACCTCACAAATCACTTTGTTTTGCAACTCTCTAATGCATTTATCGTATGTTTTATAGTTTTCTGTGTGTTTTGTGCCCCTCATAGTCTATGAGTTTTTTGAGGTCAGTGATTGTGACTTCTCTGTTTCCTCTAGCACTTGGTATAATGGTCTGCTCAAAGGAGATGCTTAATAAATTTAGAAAGTTAACGAATAGATAAGCAGTGGTTTATAAGTGTTATGGCTGTTATTGATACTACACCCAAGCCCATGCATTCTTTGCTACTTAAGTTCTTTCCTTACCACTTGGTATTGTTTCACCATTTCCCCCCACAGGATGTGAAGGATTGGAAAAACTGGATCTGACAGTAAATTTTGTTGGAGAATTGAGCAGCATTAAAATTCTTCAGCGTAATATACATCTTAAAGAAATTTTTCTTATGGGTAATCCATGTGCAGACTTTGAAGGATACAGAGAGTTTGTGGTTGCTACTCTTCAACAATTGCAAGTATGAATATTTTAATGGTTCTGAATACTTCAGTACATTGTCCTAAACTGAGCTCATTACAGTTCTCCCCAAACCTTCCCATCTTCCAAACTTTCCTTGTGCTGTCTAGGATGCCACCCTTGTCCACCAGGCTCACAACATAAGTGTCATCCTTGACTTCTCACTCTCTGTCACCCCACATATCCAATCTGTTGCCAAGGCCTATTGATTTTACCTTGCAATGTCTCTCAAGCATGCCCCCTTCTCTCCCTCCTTTGATACTGCCACCACCCTGGTGCCTCATCACCTCACATCTGGACTGCTGGTGCATCTGCCTGCCACAAGTCTTTCCTACTGAGGTCCAGATTCTATCCATCAGTCTAAGTGATTTTCCTAAAATGCAGGTCTGACCATGTCTCTCCCCTACTGAATAAACAAATACCACTGGCTCCCAATCACCTCTGGGATCAAATATAAAATCCTCTGGCTTTTGAAGTTCTTCCTAACCTGGATTCCCTTCCTACCCCCTTGCTCCACTTTTCAAATCTCCTTATACTTTATCCCACCTCCAGCCCCCTTGTGCCATACTGCCATGTACTCTTGGATCCTCTGACACTGGCCTCCTGCCTGTTCCATGAACAAGACACTCCCTCTTTTGACTCTGGGTATTTCTCTCTGGCTGGCCTCCATACCTGTGCTTTCATTCCTAGTCTCTAGTGCTTGCTTCCCTGGCTTTCTTTAGGTCACAGCCAAAATCCAGCCTTCTATATAAAGCCCTTCCCAATCCCTCTTTTTTAGTGCCTTCCCTCTCTTGTTTCCTATTTATATGGTTTATGCATATTTGTTTGCTTATTGTCTCCCTCATTTGTTTGTGTGATCCTTGAGGGCAGGAATTGTCCTTTGCCTTTATTTATTTATTTATTTTTAGTGTCCCTAGCACTTAGCATAGTACTTTCCAAATAGTAGGTATTTAATACTGTTTTATTGACTATCACATAAAATTCTAAAATTTAAATATTAGAGTAATGCTAATTTTTCAGTTTTGTCAGTGGATGAGATCTTCTGCATGTAGATCATATAGATAACTGAAGTTTATGACCTTTAAGGATTGAAACTTTTTTGTATTTTGACAATTTTTATGGAAACCATTCTAAAGGCAGTATATATTTCCCTGCTTTATTAAATAGAATATAATAAATAATTTGGCCTTTTCTTATAGCATCATTATAATATATGTAAATTATTACACTATATTGCTCTGAGAGATTATTGAAGTTTTCAAGGTTTTTTAATTTGTATACCAAATAGTATACATTTATAGATGTTGTTGTTTGTCCTTTGTGCTCAAAGAGGACCAAAATCGTGCTGTGTCCTTCACTAATAGTTCCATTTTTATGAATATTCCTCTAGAGTGGGTTTCTTTTTTAATTTATTTTTAACATTCATTTTTTAAAATTCTGAGTTCCAAATTCTCCCTTTCCCTCCTGCCCCCCATCCATTGAAAAAGCAAGTGATATGCTAACAGTTATAGAGTGAAGTCATGCAAAACATATTTCCATATTAGTCATGTTGCAAAAACAAACAAACAAAGCAAGAAAAATAAAGTGAAAAAAGTGCTTCAGCCTGCACTCAGTTCATCAGTCCTCTATCTGGAGGTGGTTAGTATTTTTCATCATTGTTCCTTTGGTATTGCCTTGGAGCATTGTCTTGATCAGAGTACCTAAGTCATTCACAGTTGATTGTCCATGTAATACTGCTCTTGCTATGTACAATGTTCTCCTGGTTCTGCTCACTTCATTTTGGATCACTTTATATGTCTTTCCAGGTTTTTCTGAAACCATCCTGCTCATCATTCCTTATACCACAATAGTATTCCATCACCATCATATACCACAACTTTATCATCCATTTTCCCATTTGATAGGTGTCCCCTCAATTTCTAATTCTTTGCCACCACGAAAAGAACTGCTATAAATATTTCTGTACATATAGGTCCACTTTCCTTTTCTTTGATCTCTTTTAGGTACAGACCTAGTAGCTATATTGCTGGATCAAAGGGTCTGCACTGTTTGTATGTAGTTTCAAATTGTTCTCCAGAATGGTTGACCCAGTTCACAGCTCCATCAACAGAGTATTAGTGTCTCAGTTTTTTCACATCCGCTCCATCATTAATCATTTTCCTTTTCTGTCATGTTAGCCAATCTGATAGTTACCTCAAAGTTGTTTTAATGTCCATTTCGCTAATCAGTAGTGGTTAAGAATGATTTTTATGTGACTTTTGATAGCTTTGATTAGAGTGGATTTCTTGGTGCAACTATGTTTTATGAGCCATAATGTTGATTTTTCTTTTAATGTTTTGAGTGTAATTGATGTCTTCTGTTTTTCGGCTTCATTTTAAAATTAATTTCCCATGATAGCCTCAGGCTGGAGAGCATTCTTGGGCCATTAGGGAAATTCCATTTCCCTGGTTTGCCTGGAAATTATCCCTCATTCAGACCACAAACTGTACCCCGTACCAGCTGATTGAGGCTTGTATTCCCCCAGGGGATTATTGGTCATCAGGGCTCCTTTAAGAGGCAGGATGCCAGCTTTTGCCTCAGAAAGCTTGCAGAGTATGAAATATATAAAAAGAAACCTCTGGGTAGGGATTCTTTTCTCAACCTGTACCATATCTTACTGAGACCCCAACAAGTCTGACCTCCTGGTTTTACCTTTGCCATAGCGTTTTCTTTCCAAAGACATTTTTTTTAACTAGCTTAATACCATCAGGGTCCTATAGTATCCAAACAACATCTTCTAACTGAATCAGTGTTTGTAGCTATTCATTAATTTAGGAAAATCACAAAATTATAGAATACCAGTATTGGAAGGAACCTCAAAGACCATCTAGTCTAACCTCAGCCTCTAGTTAGGAGTCCCTGTTCCTTTCAAGACAGTCCATTCACTTTTGGATCACTAATTGTTAGGAACTGTTTTCTTGCATTGACCTAAAATCTGCCTTTGCAATTTTCATCTTTTCTTCCTAGTTCTACTCTTTGAGGCTAAGCAAAAAACACTTGAAAACAGTTATCATGCTTCTTGAAAATCTAGAGGCTAAACATCCCTTGCTCCTATAACTGATCCTTCTATGTCATGACTTTGAGCTTTTCATTATCCTGGTTGCCCTTCTCTGGGTTCTCTTCTCATAGGACTTACTGATGCTCTCCCTAACACATGGCACCCAGATTTGAACACAGTACTCCAGATGAGGTCTAAGTCAGAGGACAAGGGGACCAAAACTTCTCTTGTTCTAGTACCTATATCTTTGTTATAGCAACCTCAGGTAGCATTTATTTTCTTGGCTGCCTCATGACATCATTGGCTTATCTTGAGTTTGAAATCCACTAGAATTCACATATCTTTGTTCATACAGACTGCTGTCCTTCTGCTCCCCGTCTTATACTTATGAAGTTGATTTTTTGAACCCGAGGCAAAACTTCACATTATACATTTATTGCCATTAGGCTGCATATTATTTATTTGCACCATTCTTCTAACTTTATTCAGATCATTGAAAAAAAAAGTTAGAAGTTAAACAGCACAGGGCCAAGTGATATTCCCTGGATCATTACCCTGGAGATTTGCTTTCAAGTTGACGTCAGATCATTAAAGAGTATATTTTGGATTTGGCTACTTAGCCAGCTATTAGTGTTCCCAATATATTTAACTGGACTAGCAGCTGAGTGATGCAGTGGATAGGATACTGGGCCTAGAATCAGGAATACCTGAATTCAAATCTGTCTCTAGACACTTACTAGCAGTCACTTCACCTTCGCCTGCCTCAGTTTCCTTAACATTAAAATGGGAATAGTAACAGCACCTACCTTAAAAGGTGGTTGTGAGAATCAAATGAGGTAATATTTGTTAGCACAGTGACTGGCACATGGTAGGAACTTTAAAAATGTTTAGTGGTTGATTGATTGGAATGCACTTCTACCTCACTCTTCTCTCAGCTCAGTTCATACTCCTTACTATGTGAAGTCTTTTCTGAGTCTCTCCAGCTGCTGGTGCTTCTTCCCTAAGTTTCCCTTGCATTTAAAAATATATTTACAGGCTGTTTCTCCTATAGGATTTTAAGTTCCTTATAGACAGGAACTATTTCATATTTGTCCTTATATCCCCAGTGCTTGAGCATACTTCCTGGCACGTAGCAGACGTTTAATAACTACTTGTTAATTGGCTTCTGGACTAAAATTCTACAGCAGAAATAAGACCAAAAGAGATGGCAAGCTCTCAAAAAATGGGATTCTGAAAACTTTCTTCAGAACACACTTCCAAAGAGTAGGAAAAAGTCAGTTGTTTAAATATATCAATATGTATTCATATTATACTATTTTAAAACCTAGACTTTATAAATACATGAAGAAAATGAAACAGACCTAATCATTGACAGAAGTGTTAATTTAACCTTATTATTACTGGTAAGGAGAATTAGTGAACTAGATTGTTTTAATAATATGTAATGAGCATTAAATTATTCCTCTTAGCTTGTCTATCTGATGAGTATAAAATATTCATCAGAAGGTTAAATATTTTGTCAATCGTTAGTCAACATTTATTAAGCACCTACAATATGCCAGACAATGTGTGTACTGAATTTGGGGGATACAAAGAAAGGCAAAAAACAGTCTCTTCTGTCAAGAAACTTACAGTCTAATGAGAGAGACAACATGCACGCACCTATGTATAAACAAGGTCTATAAATTGGGGATAGTCACAAAAGAAGGCAGTAGTAGTATTAAGGAGGCCTGGGAAAGGCTTCTTTCAGAAGGTGAGCCATGGAAGTGTGAGGCAGAGATGAGGAGGAAGAGTGTTCCTAGCCTGGGGAACAGACCTTAAAAACAGTTGGTATAGGAAGATGGAGTGTCTTGTGTGAGCACCAGATAGGAGGCCAAAGTCATTGGATTGCAGACTACCTGGAGGGGATTAAGGTATAAGAAGACAGAAAGATAGGAAGGGGATAAATTTGTAAAAGGCTTTGAACACCTAATAGAGCCACTAGAATTATTTTTTTATGCATTACTTAAATTATATCACTGTTATGACACACTATACATTCATGTAGTTTAAATATTCCAGCCAAGGTCAACATAGAGTGAGTTTGAATTGCTACTTTTGAATAATCATTTTGTTATTATTATTGTTATGATTATGACTATGATTTTTTTATAAGCGTTTGGATGGCAAGGAAATAGAACGATCAGAGAGGATTAAGGCATTGCAGAACTACCCAGTAATTGAACAAAAAATCAGAGAGCAGGAAAAGGCTTATTGCCTCAAAAGATCCAAAGAGAAAGAAGAGGCTGAAAGAAAACTTCAAGAAGAGGAAGAAAAGGAAAAACAGAAGGAAAACAGAAATAATCCAGGCTTCAATGAACGTTCCTACACAAGCATTGACAACACTATGTATGTAAACTAACCTTCATGTTTCTTGTTTATTGGCGATTCAAGAATCAATAGAAATTGCAAAATTCTTTTTTCTTATCAGGATTTTTACAAATTAATTTTCCATTCGAAGAGACTTAGCTCTAAGACCATAAGCTTCCAATTATTTGATTGCAAATGACAACCATGTGGATTATGGCCACCAAATGGTCCTCTTAGAAGAAGGGTTTTTGACTTGGATTTTGTGAACTTAAAAATATATTTTGATAATTGTACTTCAATATATTGCTTTCCTTTGTCTAAGTATTTTATTTTGCTCATTTAAAAACCTAATTCTAAGGGGTCTATAGGCTTCACCAGACTGCTAAAGGGGTCCATGATTTAAAAAAAGGCTCAAAAACCCTGTTTTCCATCAATGTATATGCAAACCTCTTACCAAAGCCTAATATTTTCGACTGATCATTTAAATTATTATATCTTAAAATGCACTCAGCAACAGCAGTGAAAAATACATGATCTGACTTGCTTATAAATCTGCAGCTCTGCCTTTATGAAATATATGTGTTGTTGAAAAGTTGTGTGTAAATCACATTTTTAGAAATTAAATCATACTGTCATTATAACAAAGACGGAGGTATTACACTGGAACTTCTGTGGCATGTTCTTTTGCAAATCATGTCCCTGATTATGAGCATCACACACCATGCCTCTGGTTATCTTTTGCATTTTGCAAGTCTTATTTATTTTTAAACATTTATTCTACATAAGGAAAAGGCTCAAATATTTCTTCAAGTCCAACTAAATAGTCTAATCTTTACTAATCTTTGTTTTTGCTCATTTTTCCTGTTTCCTCCAGTCACACTGTTCACAGTTAGTGTGAATATCATATTATTCATTGACATTGGTCCTGAAATATTGGTTTATTTATTAACAGTTTTTGCCTTGTGAACTAATTTCAGAGATGGGCTTGCATTGTAATGGTTTTCTAATAAAAGTGTATGTACATTTTGCATTTCAACATGTATTTGCTGATAAATAATTTTCTTTCATGGATTTTCTAAAACTTTAATGATTTAGATTATGAAAGGTTGAAAGTGGCACCCCATAAATCTTTTTTTCCTGGCAAGAAGGGAAAAAAAGAGGAAAAAATATAGCCAGTTATTTCAGCCACAAATATTACTATGGTTTTCTAATGTGGTAAAATTTATCTTGGAAGCCTGCATTTAAGCCTGCATCAGGAATTATTGTTGTTTTTCTTTTAGTGGTCAAAATTACTGTGCATATCATAATGTACCTTTATTTAGCTGAATGTGGCTCAGATGGACCTTTCTTCCCTATCCTGTTTTTTCTTATATAGGGTGTCCCAAAAGTATTAGTATACTTTGAAGCTTCAGTAGCTAGTTTTTAAGGCAATTATTTAAAGCTTTAGTAATTTATATTTACACCCAGACTTTTTGGACACCCTGTATTTACCTATAGTAAGATGTTGCTCACAGGATGGAAGATTTAATTATTTTGTGTAAAATAAACAGCTGCATATATACTTTATATTTCCTACATTCTCCATGAAGCTTAACTACCCATTTGGTAATGAGTCTCCTTGCCTCTAATTTCACATAAGTTTTTGATTAGTCCTCTATATCATTGTATATTAAAGTTATTTATGGATGTTTTGTGTTGCTCATCATATGCAGAATAAGCTAACTGTGCAGTGGGATCATGTACCTCTCCTGTAAACTTTGTATCTCCCCTAGCACTTAGCGTGGAAGATTGCATGTAGTTGACGTTTAATAAATGATTGTTGAATTGATCAGAAATATTTTATCCTTTATAAAACAACTGGTTAATTCAGTCAGACAACATACATTTATTAAGCACTTATAATATTCCAGGAACTGTTAAATGCAAGGGAAACCAAGAAAAAGTAAAAAATGGTCCCTGCCTTGCAAGGAATTTACATTGCAATAGGGGAGACAGAGTGCAGATAAAGAAGTTTGTATAAGAAACATATAGAACTGATGAACAGTAACCTTAGAGTTGAAGGCATGAGCAGCTTCGGGGATCAGGAAAAGCCTCCTGCAGAAGGTGATACTTGAACTGATGCTTGAAGGAGGTGAAAGATTCCAAGAACTGGGATGAGGAAAGAGAGCATTCCATAGACATTCCATGCACATTGGCATAATGATGGGAGATGGAGGCAAAGCCAAGAATGCATTAAAGGGATAATGGGTAAGAAGATGAGGTAGATATGAGAGTACCACGTTGGGAATAGCTTTACACACCAAATGGGGTTTGTAGTTGATCTTAGAGGTAACAAAGAGCCATTCAGGTGGATCGAGTGTCAGGAGGAGGAGGTATGGTTGGACCTGTAGTTAGGAAAATCACTTTTGTTAGTTTTGTGGAGGATGGAGCGAAATGGGGAATGACTTGAGGCAGGGAAGACAAGTAGGAAGCTATTACAGTAGTTCAGACAAGAGACAAAAAGGGCCTGAACTAGGGTGGTGACTGTATGAGTAGAGATGAGGAGACTTATCTAACAAATGTAGAGAAAAAAATAAACAAGATTTGGCAGGTGGATATGTGAAATGAGAGTGAGCAGTCAAGGGTGATACCAAGGTTGCAACCTAGAGCGATTGGAGAGATGGTGATGGTCTCAATAGTAATAGGGAAGTTTGGAAGAGGGGTGAGTTTTAGGGGAAAGAAAGTGAACTGTATTTTGGACGCACGAGTTTGAGAGTTGGAAATGTCCAGTGGGCAGTTGGTAATGTAGGACTGGAGGTCAGGAGAGATACTAATGATGGATCAGTAGATCTAGGAATCATCTTCATTGGTAGCTGGAGAGATCACCAATTAAGTGAGTATAGAGAGAAAAGAGAAGGGGGTCCAGAATAAATCTTTGGAGGACACCCATGGTTAGTAGGCATGACATGGATGAAGATCTAGCAGGGGGGCTTAGAAGGAGGAATCAGAGAGATAGGAGAACCAGGAGAAAGAAATATCACACAAATCCAGAGAGAAGAGTATCTAGAAGGGGATGGTCAGCAATGTCAAATGCTACAGAAGGGTCAAGAAAGATGCATATTGAGAAAAGGGAATTAGATTTGGTAAGTAAGAGATCATTGATAACTTTGGAGGGAGCAGTTTTAGTTGAATGTTGAGGTTGGAAGCCAGATTGCAGAGAGAGTGAAGGAAGAAAGGAAGTAAGGAAATAAGCATTTATTAAGTGCCTACTATGTGCCAGGCATTGTGCTAAGTGTTTTCCAAATATCTCATTTTAGCCTCACAACAACCCTAGAAGGTCAGTGTTATTATTATCCCCATTTTACAGTTGAGGGAACTGAGGCAGACATGTTAAATGATTTGACCAGGATCGTATAGTAGTAAGTGTCTGAGGCTGGATTTGAACTCCAGTCTTTCTGACACAACATTATTAGTAGCAAAGCCAGGGTCCAAATTGTTATTGGCAGTTAAAATTTATATAAAAAGAAGTCATTGAAGCTGCAGATAAGATAATGGAAGGATGTAGTGGAATTATTTTCAGAAAGTGATTTAAATGTCCATGACCTCATGATACTTTTAGGAAAGGGAGAGGGGTGAGTAATGTGCAATGGGAGGCCACCTTCTGGCATCCAGAATGGTGGGGCACATTTAGAGCCAGAAATGAAACATCATGGCCTTTGGGAAAAATTAATCAATCAACAAACATTTATTAAGTGGTGATACTATGGTAGATGCTAAGAATACAGATACAATAAATGAAACAATCCCTACTCACAAGAAGCCTATATTGGAGGAAATAAGGGTATATTAAAAATGGTATAGAATTAATATAAAGAGAATAAATACAAAGTAGTGAAATAAAAGGTAGCACAAAAGGAGTTCGATGCATGCCTAGACTATGTGAAACATTGTCACACATACGGAAGACTCTTGGGAGCATCTTATGGGAGACAGAAGAGCTGATGCATGCACTTCTGTTTCTACATCAGTCCCCAGTGTGGTTGGAAGCATTCTTTTCCCATTAGAAGCCTGGACAGAACTGACAGGGTATTTAAATCCACCTGCCTAAGCAGAGTTGATTTATCTGACTATGTGCCTAGGGCAAAGGACTCTTTCACTCAGGTGACCCAGTGAGGTAAAAGAGGAGGCTCCCAGGCCTGTCCCTGCCCTACTTAGCCATATGTCCACAGAAAAGAGTCATAGTTTGGGTCTTTGTTTATTTGTCCTTTTCAGTTCTAGGTGTCTGACATGGCAGCATGAGTCATGAGAATCTTGGGCTCAGTATTCTAGGCTCAATATTGTAGCCAACTGAACAGGGAATCCTTGAGGAGCAGTGGTCTAGGATATTAGCCTAGTGGGGTTTGGACTTGACCATGGAGAACTAATGCTAAGTAAGAAGTGAGACTTATCACTCTTCACAGACTAGGTGTAAGGAGAGCAACTTGGAGGTATTGGTTGTAGACAGTTTTGTCAAGGATTTTCATTGAGAAGGAAAGAAGTTATGTAGCACAACAACTACTGGGAATGGCAGGCTTTAATGAGGGTTTTCATGGATGTTCTAACTTGTTCTAAGGTCAACTGAAATAAAATCAAGATCTGTTGTTGAAGTACCATTGCCTCTCCATTGAGGGCAAAGTAGGGTAGATGGAGGTTTTGGGCTTTACTGTTGTTGTTTTTCATGATACTGGACGCTTGAGTATATTTGTGGGAGGAGGAGAAGTAAGCAATAAAGAGGGAGATATTGAAGATGAACAAGAGAGATGAGGTGTTTGATGCAATGAAGGCATGGAGAAGCCTGGGATGAATGAGATGATAGGTATGTAACTTAGGTTAACCTAGGTAAGAAGAGACAAGAAGAGACATATCTTTCTCTGGGACAGGAAAGATAAAAGACCTTAGGAATCTTGAGAGAAGAAAGAGGTTTGCAGCAATTATTATGGGGATCAGAAGCATAGAATCTGAGAGGGGGAAGGGCCCTCAGAGGATATCTAGTCCAGCTCATCCCCAAGCTATAATGCACTTTATAATAACGCATCTGAGAAATGGTCATCCAGGCTGTGACCTAAAGGCAAACCCACTACCTTCTTAGGCATCCTATTACATTTTTGTATGGCTTTAACTTTTAGTCAGTTTTCCCTTACATTGAACCAAAATCTCTGCAACTTTCTTCTCATTGCCTTCTGGAGCCAAAAAGAACAAGTAGTCTTTCTTTGAAGAGACATTCATTGAAACATTTGAAATCAATTAGGATCAGAGAATTCTAGTCTGACCCTTTAATTTTTTCAAGGAGGAAATGTAAGTCCCCCCAAAATGAGGTGATTTACCAAAGGTCTCGCATCTAATTAGGAGCAAGTAAATGAATGATAAGGTAGGAACTGACTGGTGATTTTGATAATGTAGGGAACTCTCAGGTGAAGAAACTCCACGTGTCAATGTAGGTCACTTGTTCTTGTTGTTAAGTAGCTTCAATTGTGTCTGACTCATGTCTGTGACTCAAATGTAATCCCATTGGAGGTTTTCTTGGCAAAGATACTGGAGTGGTTTGCTATTTCCACAAAGGTAAACAGCATTAAGTGACACACAGCTAGTATGTGTCTGAGGCTGTATTTGAACTTAGGTCTTCTTGACTCTAGGCCCAGTACCCTATCCACTGTGTTACCTAGCTGCCCTGGTAGGTCATTACCTTCTCTGAAACTTAACAGTTATAGAAATCTCCTTAGAGCACCAAGAGGTTAATTCAGTTGCCCTAGGTCACAAAGCCAGTATATATTAGAGGTAGGACCTGAATGCACATCTTCCTAGTTTTGAAGATGGCTCTCTCTCTCCACTACACCAGGCTGTCTCTGTTGCAGGTCATTGAGTGACATATAAAAGGATTACCCGGTAGCAGCCATTCACAAAATCTAAAAAAAATCAGAACAGGGCAATCTTTTATCATTATAAATGATGAAAAAATAATGGTAGCTGGCATTTCTGTAGCATTTGAGAGTACACAGAATCCTCTACTACCTTCTTTCTTTTGACCCTCATAGCAGCCTCACTGTGAGGTATGAGATAGCTCTATACAAAAACCTTTCTTCCATGTAATAATCTATCTCAGTTTTGATAGTCATTCTGTAGGTAACAGTTACATTGTTGTACTAGAATATGAAAAAATGACTTAATTTAGCTATTTTCATGTACCTTGTATTTGTTCTTTTCCAGTCCATATTCTCTGCTGCAGGAGAAAGACAACCAACAACCAGCATTAGAAGAAAAGAAAGTCAGTGAAAAGACACCAGATGAATTGGACAAGGAATTCTGGGAGAAGCCCACCTTATTTACCCCTGAGTCTAGACTAGAAACTCATAGATACTTGGTAAAACAAAGGAAAGATAAAGAAAAATTAAGGTACGGTTGCTAATTCATACTTTGGTAACTGATTAAATTGTTATGGATTTCTTAGAAATCACATTTCTTTATTCATTGATTATTTTAGACCTTTAGCCTAAAATTCTTATTAGTGTTTTTGGTTTTCCTTGCTAAATGCAATGTCTTGTACCTTTCCTTATTAAATGTTACCAAAAACTTTGCTAGTAATACACCTAATTCTTTAGACACCATTGAATATGCCAACCTTGGGTGATATTGAATAATTTGTGAGTATTTTTTTAGATAATCAATTAGTATATATATACCAATTTAATACCAATTTACTTATCACTCTAGTCAACAAATGGTTAAATAATAGCTACTGTATATATGTGTGTATAAATCTCTATACCTATCTGTCTTTCTGTTGCTGTCATCTATCCATCCATTCTATTTGTCTGTTTATCTCTCTCTCTCTCTCATCTTTCTGTATGTCTATCATCTATCTAAAATCTGTCTGTCAACTTTAGGTTTGCAATGTGTTTTTAAAACATATTATCTCACTTAATCCTCACAAACAACCCTGTGAGATAATAGATGCTGTTATAATCTCCATTTTACAGATAGAAAAACGGAACCTGGGAGAGGTTAAGTAATTTGCTTAGGGTCCCAAACCTGTCTGGTAAGTGTCCAAAGCAAGATTAGAACTCGGGTCTTACTAACTATGAGTTCAGTGCTCTCCCTACCATACCATTTGGTTGCTTCATGATCCCTAGAAGAATTCTGTGTTTTCAAAAATAAGTTCAAAAAATAATAAACATGACAATAATGTCTTATCTTTTCATTATACTTTAGAATTTACAAAGAACTTTAGTGTACATGTTGACTTTGACACTTTGAAAGAGTATCATTTCTTCCACTAATGGAGATCACTCTCTTCTTTCTGTTCTTGAGTTGTGGGTGGCCATCTTCTGGTGAGGGGGCCCCTTAGCATTTAACTACACTAGGCATTAGACAACAGATGTAATCTGTCACTGACCTTGAACTCAAAAGCTTGCCAGTTTGATAAGATCGACCGGAGATTGTGTTTCGTTGGTATAGCTTTTGAGAACCCAGAGTTATCTTTACACCAAATTGATAACAATGGGGATATTTTCGTTTCATAGAAATGTCTTATTTGATGAGCAGATTTACTTGTGTTCTCATTAAGTTCTCTCATTAAGAGTTTGCATTAAGTAACCAGTTGGTCATTTTGATTAACTAGAAAATCTATTCTATTTTTCCACTTTAAAAATAGAAGCAGTCAATTAAATGAATGAGTAGGATATTATCTTTTTTTAAAGCCAATTATGAAGCCAAGATACATTCAACTTGATTGTCCTGTTTATGCCAGACAATTCATATTACTCAGATTTGTAGGTAATAAAAATGACCTCTTCTTTACTTGAGAATTTGTAGCTTATTCTTTTTGGAGGGATGGATGAGCTGATTTCCCTAAATGCTTGCCCTATATGACCAGCCAGGAGAATGGCTCCCCAATTTTAGTTGACACATACAGGGACAGAAGGTGTGTAAGTGGGCAGAAGGGTGCTGGTAGTATTCTCCATAGATGATGAAACTTTTAACTCACCTATACACTCTTTGGATTGTGCACACCTCAGGAAATGTGCAAATGTATTACATTTGAGCAAATGACCCTACATTTGCATTATTTGGGGTGGTATTTTTATTTTTACAGGAATCTGTTCTTTGGATATCTGTTGTTATGTTATCTATTATAAGATCAGTCAATGGAAGTGGGATTATTTCTTCCTAACAAAGCTATGTTAGTTATTTAACACCACTCTTTGATCTCTGAAGTGTTTACAAATTGCTTATTTGATGATGTGTTTGAAGTTGACTGATCTGTAATCTCCAGAGTAGTTCTTTTTAAGTTTGTTAATAGGTACAATGTCATTCCATTCATCTAATTGCTTAACCCAGCACATCTACCCTAATATCTACCACTTAGGGGAATTTTTAGAATTTTTGGCCTGTGAGGAAGTGAATTAAAGAGTGTGATTAGTGCATTTAATAATAATAGGTAGCATTTATGTATTGCTTTAATGTTTCCAAATGCTTTACATATATTATCTAATTTTATCCTTATAACATTGGGAAGGGGGAGTAGGAAGGGAGTAAGCATTTATTGCCAACTAACCAGGCACTGTTCTAAGTGTTTTATAAATTTTATAAGTGTTTTACAAATATTATCTCTTTTGATCCTCACAACAACCCTTTAAGGTAGGTGCTATTATTATCCCCATTTCACAGTTGAAGAAACTGAAGTAAACAGAAGTTAAATGACTTGCCCAAAGTCACATAACCAGTAAGTGCCTGAGCTGGATTTGAATTCAGGTCTTCCCAACTTTAGGCCCAGCTCTATTCCCTGTACCATCTGGCTGCCTTTTAAAGTACCTTTGTCTAAGAAAAGCATAAAATGAAATACAAATATCTTCTCCATCCCCATGATAAAAAAAACTAAAGACAATTTGAAAAAAGAAGGATCATGTTAGAGAATGGCTGCTGCTGATTTCATGCACTTTTCTTCATTAATGAAAAAAGACAAGGTTGGAGACAAACTGAAAATCAGGTTTTTCCCTAAGCATTTGTTTGTTGCAAATTAAATAGTGCTACAGTGATCTATACACTGCCCTGATTGTTAAATCATGAAGCAATTATGATATATTATAAATTATAGTTTTAAATAAATCAGAGGCTATATACACAAAGTAGAGAAGTAAATGGCAAGTATCTGGACAAACTATAAATAAAATATGATAGCCATTCGTTATTGGCACAACCCTAACCTAGCCACTTGGGTGTTCAATACATATACAGCCCCACATGCTTAATAAAAACCACATATCCCTATGCAAGGGGATGGAGGACAGGCAACTCTCAAAGTATATACAAAGAGAGAAAACAGAATAGGCTGTATAGGCTCAGAACTTGGGAACTGAATCAGCAGTAGCCATAAAACTGACATAAGTTTTCTTTAGCTGCCATTTTTCCCTCTCTCATGTCAGGCATGACCTGAGGTTGGTAATCTGTTTTTGCCTCTTCTTTTGGCCAGCGATGGGCAAGGAGGATTGCTTGGAAAAGGTACTCTGTTCTCAGTCTACTTGGGGGCAATAGGAAGTAATAAGGAAATGGGGCTGAGCAGGTCAGCTTTTGAAGGGGAGTTACTGGTGATGAAAGCTGACTCCAGACTAGGCGCATTCCATCCTCAGCTAAGTGAACAGCTTTGAAGCTCCCCTTGTTGCTCTGCTTTAGTTATAACACCATGGAAAGAAGGAAGAACCCTCCCATACAACACATATACCCATTCCCTCCATTCCTCACATACAGACACAAATTAATTTATGTATATTTTTCAGGGAAAGGTAGCCCTTTGGGTATCTATGTGACGCAATGGATAGAGCTCCAGGCCTGGAGTCAGGAAGACCTGAGTTCAAATGTGGCCTCAGACTCATACTAGTTGTCTGGCCTTAGACAAGTCACTTAACGCTGTTTGTCTCAGCTTCCTCATCTGTAAAATGATCAGGAGAAGAAAATGCCAAACAGTTGAGGATCTTTGCTAAGAAAACTCCAGGTGGGGCCACGGAGTTGGACGGGACTGAAACCTGAACAGCAACAAAAGCTCTTTTCATAGGAGTCATTCAGCAAATTGCTTTACTTTGCAATTCTGCCTCATCACTGTAGATATGACCACATAGAAATCTTTCTCTGATTTGAATTTCAAAGCAAATGACATAATTATAGTAACTTGACTCATATAGAAATATTGGTGGAATTCAGACGTTTCTGTTTATTTTTCATGAGCTATTTCACTGAGGTATTACTCCCTTTAACATGTACTTTAGTAAAACAAGAATTTCCTTCCATCTCCATCCCACCTCACCCCTCTCTGTTTATTTTTAGTGATAGAAAGAAGAAACAAAAGCCACCTAGGACTTTGATCACTGCAGATGGACGAGTCTTGAATATTAATGAACCCAAGTAAGTGAGAAAAACAGTAACCTGAAGAAATAAAATTAGTAGGATTTGTAGTCATGGTTTTGTTTTTAATAACAGGTGTGCTTTGCAGTGAATAAATTTGTCAATTTTAAATGGTTAGGAAGCTCTAAAAATGTCATTTTCTTCCATATATTCTCAAGTAACAAATTCACTATATTTTCAAACAGTACCAGATTAGATTCAATTTAGCTGACATTCATAAACATTCCATGAACATACAAGCATACACATAAGACTGTCCCAACTAGTACTGTTTCATAATAATATCGGTAATACATTATAACTAAGTCCTATCGTAAAGTCATGGAATCTCACTGTAATGACTTTCCCCGATTGCCTATTTTTATGAAACTGTTTCCTTTAAACACCCAGTAGTGTATTTTTTTTTTTGGAACCAACTAATGAATGTTGCTAGCAGGGTATGTCTTTCACTCCTCTATAGAATTAGATGAATATTGTAAACATGCCTTGAGTTAGAACATGGCTGGATTTGGCTTAAATTAATTGATTTGTTCTGATTTAGTAGTGAATAAGCTAATAATGATACTGGGATATCTCTTATGAATGTATCCCCTACAAATCAAATTTTAAAACCCGAGATAAAATCACCAAACATATTTTGGACCAAGGAAATAAATTATAGAAAATATAGCATGCTATCTGTTACACTTAGTGATTTATAGTGTTAGGTTATATGAAGGGTGGGCAAGAATTAGTTTCAAAATACAATCACAAAAATGTAGTAACTTCTCACTTACCTGTAACAAAACAAATCATTCCATTTCCAAGTTCATATATGTATCTATATATACACACACATGTATTTCCCTTGGATGCATCATCTCTCTGTCAGTAGATGGGTAACATGATTCATAACAGCTTGTCTGATCACTGATTCATTCAGAGTTCTTAAGTATTTGAAAGTTGCTTTCTTTATGATGTTATGTTATCATTATATAAATTGTTCTACATCAGTTTACTCCGCATTAGTTCATGCTTCCTTAGATTCTGTGATACCATCTATTTCATCATTTATTATTGTGTAATAATATTTCATTTCACATACAATGGTTTATTCAAATGTTCCCCATTTGATAGCCATCCCTTTAATTTCCATATTGCTTCTTTTTTTTCTTAATTTTTTTTTTAATTCCCTTCAGGATCTGGAAAGTTAGTTTTGCTTGCAACTATTCCCACCCTGGTTTTGTGCTCCCTCTTAACTATTACCCCCTATTCCTGCCTGAACAAACATTTATTGAGTTTATTGTATTTCTATACCTAACCGTTGGCAAGTGTGTGTATGTGAGTGTGTGTGTGTATGTGATTATTCTTGCTATTGTCCTCCTTTGTCTGGTTCAGGTAAAAGTTAGTCCTTACCTCAGCTCCTACCCCTTCCTCCAGGTTTGTATATTCTTCTTCTCATGTACCTCAATTATGAGAAACAGTAAGTTTTACCTTCTTCTTCCTCCTTTCTACACTGCTGCATTCTTCCTTTTACCCTTCCTTTTCTTTCCCCTCTTAAAACTCTCAGAATAGGACAAGTCTACCCCTAGTGTCTCTTTTTCTTTTTTCTTATTTAATTTCATCAGTGCTCTCAGAAGGCATTAATATTTGAAGGGATTCTTGTTTCTTCTTTCTCTAGTAGAATGTCAGTACTTTATGTCAAATGGTGATATAAATGGACCTTTCGATGTTTCTTCTGATCCTTGTGTTTGTCCGTCAAAGTTCCTACTTAAGTCTGGTCTTTTCATCAGGGATGCTACAAAGTGCTCTATTCCATTAAAGGTTCAGCTTTTCATTTCTATAGGAGTATATTCAGCTTTGCAGTGTAAATTATTCTTGGTTGTAAGCCCATGTCTCTTGCCCTTTTCATTATTAGATTCCATGATCTCATCTTACTTAATATAGAAGATGCCAGGACTTTTATGATCATGACTGTTGTTCCCTGGTACCTGAACACTTTCTTTCTGACTGCCTGAAATATTTTTCTTTAAAGAGGGAACTCTAGAATTTGGCTGTTATTTCTGGGAGTTTTTCTTCTGAGATTTTTATTTCAGGAGGTGATCAATGCATTCTTTCTGTTTTGTCTTACTATGTGCCAGATGCTATACTAAGTACTGGGAATACAGCAAAAGGCAAAAATGGACCCTGCCCTTAAGGAGATCACAGTTTAATAGCAGGGGACTACATGCAAACAACTGTGTACAAATGAGATATGTACAGGATTAATTGGAGATAATCTTAGAGGGAAGGCACTCATATTAAGGAAGACTAGGAAATATATCTTTTCTAATGGAAGATGACATGTTAGCTGAGGATTGAACAAAGTCAGGGAAGCCAGGAGCCAGAGGTAAGGAGAGAGGAAATTCTAAGTGTGAGGGTAGCCAGTGAGTTGGGGAATGAAGTGTCTTTTTTAAAGAATAGCGAAGTGGCCAGAGTCACTAGATCACAGATTAAGTGGAGAGTAATAAAGTATATGAATACTGAAAAGGTATGAAGGGGCCAAGTTACAACGAACTTTGAACCAAATATTTGATTTTGTATTTGATCTTGGAGACAATAGGGAGCTACTGGAGTGGGTTGGTGTGGTAGCCAGCATGAAGGATAATCAGTGGATAGCCCATCTGCCACATTGGTATCCATGAAATGTCAAGAGATCTAGAGATCATCCATCCTCCCGCTGGAGAATTCAGTGGAGAGAGCTAGGAAGTTGAAGAGGATGTGAAAAGCTGCTGTTGACATCACTGGAGGAAGTCTCTACACCAGTGAGATCACACATCCATTATCAGGCTATCAGTAAACATTTATTAATCTCCTGCCATATGCCAGGCACTGTGCTAAGTGCTGGGGTATGGGAAAAGCAAGATAGCCCCTGCTTTCAAGGAGTTCAGGATCTCATTGGGGAGACAACACGTAAACAACTATGTACAAACAAGCTATGTACAGGATGAATTTTTAAAAAAACCTTAGGTATTTAACAATTCCATGAATTATAAGTAGATAAAAAAAGATTTTCCTAATTCATATTGACTTTTTTTGCTTAAATTTCATAAACCATAAATAATAAAAATAAAATTGTGAATTCCTCCTCTATAGGTGTATCCATTCCATTACAATCTTGAGAGATCATTTTGGTTATTGTTTTATGTTATGTTTTGGGTAGATACTGTTATAGTTTAGAATAATACTTCATCTATGACATATTTTCCCTCAGAAATATCTTTGTGTTCTGTTTTTATGATTCAATTCAGCATCCTTTCATTGTTGCACTCTTACAATATCTGCCAAAAGCTCTTCATGTTGGATTATTTATTTTCATTGTTAAAAGGCTTCAAATTATACTTTCTCCTTTCTTTAATCCATCTTTATTCTATTGCCATGCTAATTTCCCTTATGAATAGATACTCCTAGGCTTGAAAATCTCTACTACACCCTCCTAGCTTACAGTATCAGGTTTAGATTCCTTTACCTTCCACAATCCAGTACCACTTTTTCTCTTAAACCTTATTTTATATTACTTTCTACCCTGTGGTACAGCTGAACTGGGCCACTATCTCTCTGTAACCAAAGACAGTCAGAACTTTCTCACCTATAAGTCTTTGCTCACTCCATTTCCTATTTGTGGCTTGGTATTGCCCCCCCACACACACACAGTTTACTTACTGAATTTATTCCCTTCCTTCAAAGCCCAAATTAGATGTCACCTCCTTCATCAGAGCAGGCCTAGTCCCCATTGTTAATAATAATTTAGGTATCCTAAAACCTTACATAACACTTTGTTTTACATCTGTCTGGTATACTTAGCATGCATTATTGTTTATTACATTTATGTGTTTATGTGTCTTATTCCCCTTACTATACTATAAACTCAGTGAAGGAAGAAGCCATGTCTTATCTAAGTTTTGTATATATTCCTAGCAACTAGAATGGTGCTTAGAACACTGGGATGTATATTTAATTGAATTAATTTTTTTTATGAAAACCTGTTTTTGAAATTACATATAATTTATTTAAAATATGAATTGACCATATATACATATATAATAAAATCCTATTCCTGTTTATTGTAAGCAACTTTCATGTATGTTTTGTGGATTTGTAAAATTGATTTCATATACCATAATTTCATTTTGGGATACACTTTGGAGAATTATATGAATTATTAATAAAATAATTTAAAAAACATATTTAATGTGTCATTTAGGAGTCAGGAAGAGCTGGGTTTGTGTCTCGCCTCTGACATATACTGGCTGTGTATTGCTGGACAAGTCACTTACCCTCCCAGTGCTCCCAGCAGTTCTTGGGGAGCTGCTGAGCAAGTTCCAGGCTTCTAGGGAAGAGGGGTTTTCCTGGCTAGGAGCTCTCTACACTGATGAAATCCTAGGCTGGTAAAAAATAAAGTTTAGTGGGAGATTTCATAGCATGGGGATTAAAAGGCTAATAATAAAAACAAGAATAAGGATGGGAAAATGTTGGAAAGGCAATTCCATGTCTGTTTTTGAGGTTTAGGAAACTAAAATCTAAGGAATGTTAGCTACAAAAGGGAAAACTATTGAAATTTTTAATTAACAAGTTTTCTGTTTATACATTAAAAATAAATTTATATATTCTTTAAAAAATAAGTTTTTATTGATATTTTCTGCTTTTACATCTGTTTTTACATCTGTATCCCTCCTCCTACCCCTCCAAGATATGATAAATAATATTTTTGAAGAGGAAAAAAATGTCATCACAACTGATCAGTATGTTGAGAAATTCCAGAAACATGTGCATACCTGTGGACCTCCCACCTCCACCAAGGGATGGGTTGGAGGTGTCTTCTCATATCTCTTCGTTTGAGTTTCATTTGTTCTTTATAATTTTGTTATATTTATTTTTGCTTTTTTTTGTTGTGTCATTTCCATTTCCATTGTTGTAGTTACAGTGTATATTGTTTTCCTGGCTCTGCTTACTTCGCTGTGCATCAGTTCATGTAGATCTTTCCATGTTTCTGTATGTTCATCACACACATCATTTCTTACAGCACAGTAATATTCTTTGTACTTTCAGTCTGCCCCATTACATTCCTTATCACTCACTTTCTGACTTCCTCTCCTGTGGCTGTGATTTCAAGGGAGGCTAAATCTCAAAGCATCTGAGCCACCTCCTACACTGGGCATTTCACAGTTCACCAGCTTAGTCCTTTGTCCCAAGTGATTTTTGGATGGTCAGAACTGTCCCCCTGCTGGGTGCTGTACTCTTTCTCTCAGGTTTGATGGAGTGTTGCATATCCCCTGCACATATACTATGTCCTGTCCCAGTGATCTGCCCCATTCGCCCTGTTCCTCAGTTCTCTGGCCTGGTAGAGGCAGTTCAGAATCTGTTTATCTCAGCATTGGCAGTTCAGACCTTTGCAACATTGGTACTTCCAGTTTTTAGCCCTTAATAGGTTTTTGCTCCCTAAGGGCTGTCACCAAGCTGGCTTTCAAGGCCTGAGTAAACTTCTGTACCCAGGATCCCCAAGGCACTGAAAAGAGGGAGAGGGAACCAGGCCCTGGGGTGGGTTTTGATGTAAGCTTATGTTGTCTCCTTGAATCTGCTATGGAGACCGCACTGCTGAGAGCATGGAAGGTTGGAAAGGGGTATTGAGTGAGCATCAGTTCTTGAGTTGCCATTTTTTGTTTGTTTGCCTTATCTTGGGTTCTAAGTGTCCTATACCATGGAAAAAGCTAAAGTTACTTTTTTGGCACATAGTTTCTGTTTTGGAGAGGCTTGAAAGGTCATGGGATCAGAGACATTTCTCTAGTTGCTCACATGATCAAGTTAATTTATTTTCAATTAACAAAATCTTTTCTCTTTTTCTTCCCCTCCCCCTTGAAATTAAAAAAAAAACAGCATTTCCTGTAAATATTATGCAGTCATGCAAAAGAAAGTCCTGAAGTCCTGCATTGTCTCTACCAAAAAATATTGTGCTTCCTGAGTCCATCATTGATATATCAGGTGGTAGTTCATCATTGGTCCTTATATTCATGATTGGTCATTGTGTCAGTCAGAGTTTTTATATCTTTTGTGTGCAAAAGCTGTAGAATGATATCTAGATTTTAAAAATCAGGATATAAAAATTCTTATTAGTTAGGCATCTGTTTATGCACAAACAAATCTTAACCTTCTAGATTTCTTCACAAAAATTAATTTAATAGATTAAAAAAACCCAAAGTTTTAACCACCAGATGTCTCTATTTCTGCACCAATGTTAAATATATCTGTAACATACCATGAATTTTGTTAAGTTTGAAAAAAATTATAGATAAATCCAATTTAATTTTCAAGGTTTTGCTGAATTCTGGTGAAGTTTTGGAAATAAAATAGAAATATTGTTGTTCAAGTACCAAAATGCCCACATTAATAGAAGTTTTTGTAGTGTATCCTTTTTTGCTTTTAAATATAATGTGGTGAGACTTTTGTCTATCCATTTATTACTGGACAAACTATTTCTTTTTCTATTTTCCATTTTTACTAGGCTTGATTTTTCTTTGAAAGATGATGAAGAAAATAATCAAATTGTCCTGGATCTTGCTGTATATAGGTAAAGGTATTTTATTGCTTTCTATGGTACTGCTGCTTAACTTATGAGTGATTTTATTTATTCTCATACCTAAATGGAAAAGAAAATGTGTTATTCTTTTATGATAGGCAAACCCCAGTGACTCGCTGTTAGAGGCTAAAGCCTCTGGATTAGACATTCTAACAGATGGTGGAGCTTCAAACATTTAACATCCATCTGATTTTGAGGGTGCTGGTTATGACATTGTCCTGTTCTCCCAATGTCTACCTTGATTTGGTCACCGCACTTCTTGACACTACAGCCCCAGAGAGTTTACATAGTAGCCTTTCCATAGACACTTCAGGCAATGCAAAGGCTGATCAGACCCCTTAAGTGTATTTTTGTATTGAGTAGATGTTGCATGGGGTCATGGAGAATGCGTACACAAGGAAGGGAACCCAGAAAACTCAAGGACCAGTATGAACAAATTCCTTTCAGTTCTGCATTGTCCTCATTATACTTTGCTTGAGAATGACATTGACCAGTTTTATAACATGAGCAACAAGATTCCTACGTGCTCTCCCTCTCAGAGTTGGTGGAGATTTCAGAGTCATTCAGTCCAATCCGTGCTTGAACAAGAATCCACATAACATATTCAACAAGTGGTCTTCCAACCTTTGCTTAAAGACCTTTAATGAGAGAGAATAATCTACATCCTGAGACACTCCATTTTATTTTGGGGTAACTTTGTTAGGGATTGTTTCATTTTATCAAGACTGATCTGCTTCACTGCAAATTCTGCTGATTGCTATGTCCAAAGAGAAAATTTAATTCCTCTGCGAGGTGATAATCCTTCAGATATTCAAAGACAGCTTTCATATCTTTGTTAAGTCTTCTCTCCTCCAAACTAAGCATCCCCTGTTCCTTCAACCAGTCTTAATACAGCATGATTTTGAGACCTTCCACTATATTAGTCACCTTCATTTTATCACTCTCCCAAATGACCTTCCTAAACCATCATGATGCAAACTAAACGTTGTACTCCAGGTGTGATTGGACCAGAGCAGAGGACAATAGAACAACACTTGTGCAGCCTAAGATCACATTAATTTTGGGGGCTGCCATATCAATTTAGGTCATGAAAGTGTAGCAAGCTAATGAATTGAGAGGTCTTGAAGTTTTGGTGGGGCAACATTGTGAATCCTGGAGTATCTACGTATATGGTCAGAAGACTTAATGAGCTGTGGTTTAGCTCATTGGTGTCTTAATTCAAATAGAACCACACAAAGATCCCTCTGGGCTGCATATTGAAAACCACATATTAGTATTATCTATCTTCTAATGTAGTTTTATTTATTTTTAAGAGCATTTCCCAATTACAGTTTAGTCAGGTTTGGACCACACTTGGGAAAATTGCAGGCTATGTGTTTGACATCTCCGGTTTAGCTTATGTCAATTCTCTTGAATTCATACGAACATCTTCTTGCTGAATATTTTTCTGGCAATGTGATTTATTTATCATTTTATTGAAATATTTTGTTTTGATGTAACAGAAACATCCCAAAAAACATATAAATAAACTTCACAAAGTATATTCCCTCATAACAAATAAGAAAACTTCTCCCCCAGAGAGCAGTTGTGACTGAAAATAGATGTCACTTTTCATCATTACAATTCACCATTTGTCAACAAAAAGGAACAATAAAAATTAGTGGCTTCTGTAGAATGTTTTAAAGTTTACAAAAGGCTTTGTACACATCATCTCACTCAAACCTCATAAAAAGTCACAAAACCAGGGACTGAGGGCAGTATTAGCCTCATTTTCTTGGTGACCAACTGAGGAAGGCTTATACTTTAATAATTTGGAATCAACAGCAACCATTTAGCCTAATTTCGGTTATATTTTGGTGTGGTCTTCATTTACATTGTTTTAGTCATTGTGTGTATTGAGTTTTGGGCTTTAGTTTCATCAAGCAATCTTGTAATCATCAGATGTATAATGTAAATAGAAAGAATATCTTGAACTTATAATGTCCTTTAAGGATTGCAAAGTACTTTCCTCACAACAGCCTTTCGAAGGAGGTCATAGAAGCATTATTGCTCCACTTTTACAGATGAAGAAAATAAGGCTCAGAGAAGTGAAGGGCCACTGTCACATAGTAAGTATTGGAGGCAGGACTCAAACCCAGGTCTCCAAGGCTAATGCACTTGGTATTAGGACAAGCTGTTTTGCCAGGAATTCTTACAGTTGAAGGAATTGAATTAAGATGTATTTTCATTAAAATAATAAAATGAAATTAAAAAGTATCATTCCAGCGATCAATATTACATTAAAAAGATGTTTAAATTAGCATGATTTCTTTCTTACATTTTTGTTATTCATATTTTTATTCACCTGTACTGAATTTTCTAATATTTTTAATCATGATAAAATTTCAGAAAAGCATTTGGCTATATGTAACACCATTAAAAAATAGCTAGGTGGTGGTTCAGTGGATAGAGTGCTGGGCCTGAAGTCAGGAAGACCTGAATTAAAATCCAGCCTCAGGTGCTTACTAGCTGTGTGACCCTGGACAGGTCGCTTAACTTCTGTTTGCCTTAATTCCCTAAAGAGGGAAATGGCAAATCACTCCAATATCTTTGCCAAAAAAACTCCATAGACAGCTTTAACATGCTGTAGTCCGTGGGGTCACAAAGAGTCGGACATCACTGATTGACTGAACAGCAGCAATAACATCACCATTAAAATCATTATCTAAGTTTTTGGCCTAGGAGGCAATATCTTTAGCTTTAGGGAATTGATGTTAGAGGAAAAGTTATAAATTTTGTCACAGTTGTTAAGAAAATTCCCAACATTTAGTCAGAGGTTGGGCTCTCTAACTTTATATTTATCTCTAGTTAATCCTGGCTTCTTTGTGGTTGAAGTAAAATTCAGTTTACCAGAAACATTTGGGCAATGAAAAAACAGATTATAATATAGTTTATGCATGTAGACAGGCACTGGAAGGGGAAATTGGAGAAAGAGCTAACCTTTCTTTTTTTTTAAATTTTATTAATTTGTTTTGATTTATCAACAATCACTTCCATATGCATTTGAGTTGAAAATTTTTCTTCCCCTTCCTCCCCACCCCCTCCCCAAGACGGCACACGATCTGATATAGGCTTTACATTTACATACCCATTAAACATATTTTCACATTAGTGAAGTTGTAAGTAAAAATCAAAACCAATAGGAGGAACCATCAGAAAGATGAAACAAAACTCAACAGAAGGTAAAAATAAGTGATAGCGATTTGACTTCCATAGCTTTTTCTTTGGATGTGGACAGTGTTTTCCATCCCGAGGCCTCTGGAGATGTCTTAGATCCTCGTAATGCTGAGAAGGGTTCAGTTAAACAATCTTAGTCATTGCATAACGTGGCTGTTATTGTGTACATGGTCCTCTTGGTTCTGCTCACTTCACTCAGCATCAGATCAAAGAGCTGACCTTTCCTTGGGACTTCCTCAGCCTACATCTTGTGTGAGATGCTTGTAAAGTTGGTAACTTTCCTTGGCATCTCCTTTCTGTGCCACAATTCACTCCTGCCTTTGTTCCCCAAGGTAATGCCACACTTGCTCAAAATTCTTAAATCCATCCCTTATCAAATTGCTTGATAGTTTATAGATGCTTCTGGGCATGCCCAAGTTTTCTTGGCCTTTCTAAACACAATTCTTGTGCAACATCATTAGAGTTTGAAGGACTTTCCACACTTAATCTAATGCCTATGAGATTGATTGGAAATATTATTAGGTACTCGAGTAAAGCAGTCACTCAAGCCTTACATATGTAAATGTTTTACCTTATGCAATAAATTTCCAACATTGTCATATAAACAGATTAGGAGATGTGACCTTCCTACCTTGTGCTGATTCTGCTAGATGTTACGTCAGGTACAGGATGAGAAGTTCCTCTGTTGACTGTGTTGAAGCAGTATTGAGTAATCTACTATTAATTATATATAAAGTGACTGGCTGAAAATAGTAGAACTAGTAGACTCACCAGAAGACTTCATTCCAGTGTGGAAGGATAAAATAATATATTCACCTTTGTTGTTACAGATCTAATATAGTTGGGGATAGAAAGATAAAATACGAATATATTAATGACTATAAAACTGGAGTTACTGTTAAATTGAACTCCTTTCAATCTGAAGTTTTCCTGGGACTTTGACTTGAAACAATTTTTGGGACTGGTCACCACAATAAAAATTGAATATCATAGTAATGTAATATTTGTTTAATTGAATAGAATTGAATTTATTTAAAGTTACTCATGAATATTTGGATTAACATTTGTATACACTTATGTTTTTATAAGAATTATAACTTTTTGATGCATTTAATCCTGAAGGTTCATGGATACTTCTCTAATTGATGTTGATGTGCAGCCAACTTATGTTCGAGTAATGGTCAAGGGGAAGGTAGGTATAAATTTGCATAATAGTATGGTCATCTGGTCAGTCCATAAGCATTTTTAAGCCCTTACTGTGTACCAGGCCCCGTGCTGAGCACTGGGGATATAAAGAAAGGCAAAAATAGCCTCTGTCCTCAAAAAGCTTATGTTCTAATGGGTGAGGAAACATGGAGATATTGTATTTGTAAGATAACTAGCAGGGGGTTAGGGGAAGGGGACATGGAAAGGTCTATTTCAGAAAAAGGAATTTTAGCTGAGTCTTGAAGGAAGCCAGGAAAGTCAGGAGGTATAGGTAAGGAGGGAGAACATTCTGGGCATGGGGAACAGTCAGTGAAATTGGAGAAGACTTCATATTTGATTCTGGAGTTGATAAGAAACCATTGGAGTTTGAGGGGGATGGGATGATGACATGATTGGACCTGCACCTTCAAGAAAGATCACTTCAGTAGCTGAGCAGAGGATGCATTTGAGTGGGGAGGAACTTGAGGCTGGGAGACCAGCCAAAGGCTGTGGCAATAGTCTAAACATGAATTGGTGAAGGCCTGCACCAGGGTGATGGTTATGTGATTCGAGAGGAAGGAACATATATGAGAAATGTTTTGAAGATAGAAATATAAGAGATTGAATATGTGGGGTGACTTCTAGTGAGGAGTTGAGGATGACACGTAGGTTGTGAGGCTGGATGCCTAGAAGGAAGATGGTGCCCTTGATAGTAATAGGGAAGTTTGGAAATAGGGAGGGTTTGGGAGAAAAGAGAATACAAGCTCAAAATCAAATCCTTAAATAAATTATGCTTAGTTTTAAAGAAATGTGCTGCCCTTAAATAAGTTTAACTAGACTAGAAAAATTGTTAACCAAGTTAACAAACCATACTATAGCTATTTAGGAAACCAATATTTCTTACACTGGCAGTTACAATTAATGGCTGCTAGAAATTGTGGAGCTTCATAGTTTCCTTAAATATGTCTACCTATTGACTTTATGTACTATGATAATGTTCACATATGGATTTTGCATAAAAATAATTTACAGTAATTTGTTCTAAGTGAAATAATGCAATCTATTCCATGTTTGGATTTTAATGTATAGAAAGCATCTTTTTATCATTTTAATTTATAGAAAGCATCTTTCTATCATTTTTAGCCAATAATGTGTCTTTTAAAAAATATTTATTTTCAATATTCATTTTTAAAAATTTTGCCTTTCAAACCTCTCCCTCCTTCCATCCCCTCCCCCACCCCTTGAAAAGGCAAACAATATGAAGTCAGTTATACATATGAAGTCATGCAAAATGAATATTAGCCACATTGCAAGAAAAAAAGCAATAAAAATAAAGGAAGTGAAAAAAAGTATGTTTGAATCTGCAGTCAGAGTTTACCATTTTTCTCTCTGGAGATGGATAGCCATTTTTCATTATGGGTCCTTTGGAATTATCTTGGATCATTATCTTGATCAGAGTAGCTAAGTCTTTCACAGTTGGCAGTTGCTACAGTATTGCTGTTATTGTGTGCAGTGATCTCCTGGTTCTGCTTACTTTACTCTATCAATTCATGTAGTTCTTCCCAAGTTTTTCCAAAACCATGCCCCTTGTCATTTCTTACAGCGTAGTAGTGTTCCATCACAATTTTATACCATAACTCATTCAGCTGTTCCTCACTTGGTGGATGTCCCCCTCAATTTCCAATTCTTTGCCAACACAAAAGGAGCTGCTGTAAATATTTGTATACATATAGGTCTTTTTCCTTTTCTTTGATATCTTTGGGATACTGACCCGTTTTTTTCCTTCACTGTAAAAGCTTTTGCTTTGATGCCTCTTTTATGTGAGATAATTTTCCCCATTCTTCCTTTCTCTTTCCCCTTCCCCTTTTCCCAGTGCATCCCTTTTTCTTGCCCATCCATTTTTTTGAGATCATCCCAACATAATTGACTCACCACCATGCCCTCTATGTAGAGTCCTTTTAGCTGCCCTAATAGTGATAAAATTCTTAGGAGTTTCATATATCATCTTACCATATAGGAATGTAAACAGTTTAACCTTTTTGAGTCTCTCTTGATCTCTCTTTCATGTTTACCTTTTTAATGTTTCTCTTGAGTCTTACATTTGAAAGTCAGATTTTTCTATTCATTTCTAGTCTTTTTGATCAGGAATATTTGTCCTGAATAGAGTCCTCTATTTTATTAATATCTGTTTTTTCCTCTGAAGGATTGTACTTAGTTTTCCTCAGTAGGTTATGCTTGGTTGTAATCCTAGCTCTGGAATATCATATTCTAAGGCCTCTGCTCCGTTAATGTGGTAACTGATAAATCTTATGTGATCCTGGCTGTGACTGTATGATATTTGAGTGGTTTCTTTCTAGCTGCTTGCAGTATTTTCTCTTTGACCTGAGAACCCTGCAATTTGGCTGTAATATTCCTGGGAGATCTCATTTGGGATCTCTTTCAGAGGTATTCAGTGAATTCTTTAAATTTCTATTTTACTCTCTGGTTTTAGGATATTGGGACAATTTTATTTATAGTTTCTTGGAAGATGATGTCTAGGCTATTTTCTTCATGTCTTTCAAATAGTCCAACAATTCTTAAATTATCTCTCTTCCATTCTATTTTCTAGGTCAATTGTCTTATGGTAAGGTACTTCATATTTTCTTCTATTTTTTCATTCTTTTGACTTTATTTTCTTGTTTCTTGATTTCTCATTAGTCATTAGCTTCCATTTGCTTAATTCTAATTTTTAAGGAATTATTTTATTCAATGAGCTTTTCTACTTCTTTTTACCATTTGCCTAGTTCGCTTTTTCAGATGTTATTTTCTTCAGCATTTTTTGTGCCTCTTTTACCAAGCTGTTGTCTTTTTATAATTTTCTTGCATTGCTCTCATTTATTTTCCCATTTTTCCTCAACCACTTTTATTTGATTTTTAAAATGATTTTTTAACTCTTCTAGCAATTCTTGTTGGGTTTGTGTCCAATTTGCATTTTTTTCTTTGAGGCTTTGTTTATTGCTGTTTTGACATCATTGTCTTCTGAGTTTTAGTCTTGATATTCTGTATCACCATAGTAGCTTTTTATAGTCATTTCATTCATTCATTCATTCATTCATTCATTCGCTCATTTTTCCAGCCTATTTCTTGACTTTGATCTTTATATTTAAGTTGAGCTCTGTTCACCTTAGGGTGTGGGTGGGAATGTCCCAAGCTTCAGGCTTTTTCATGCTACTGTTTTTTGAAGAAGTTTTCAGTGCTTCCAAGATGGTGTGATCTGGAGAAGGTGTGATTACTTTTCTCCTGGTATATGCTTTGGTCCTTAGCCAGGGACCCTGTATTCCTTGCAACTGAAAATGCTACTGCTCCTCAGGGCCCCCTTTGCTCCTTTGTGATAGAAAGTATTCTTCTCTGTCCTGGAACCAAGACTGGGAAGTGAGTATGGGCATGGAGTTGCCAAATAGCACCTGGTCCTGTGCCCAGTGCTAGCACAGGGTTCCCTATAATCTCTTTCAGACTAGTTGCCCAGTCCTCTTACCATGTGTAGGATGAGAGCTCCTGAAACCGCTGCTGCTGTTACTTTTGCTACTTCCAAGTCCCACAGGTGGTGTTGTTGCCACATGTGCTCTGGACCATCCTTCACCCCAATATCACAGACCTCTCCTGCCTTGAACTGTAAAATTTCTCACCCTGACCTTTTGTTGGCTCTGCCACTCCATAATTTGATTTGAAGTGCTATTTTAAAATTATTTGGATGGGAATATAGATAGAACTTGGCTGTAGTGCTTCCTCTATTCTGTGATCTTGGTTGTGTCCATTTCCTCAATAACTCTTTCAAATAATACTCTAAGATCTCAGCATAGATTGGGGTGACCCTGGTTTCTGGAAAGTTATTCTAGTGGAGTTCAAGCTTTGTCCAGTCCCCCCAACCTAGAAAGGCTTTGTCTTTAGCCCCATGATGGAGCACAGAATCACAGCCTTTCAGAATTGGAAGGGGCCTAAAGGCTCTCTTGTCCAACCCATAACTCATGGTTAGTGTACCTGTCATGCAGGGACCAGCATAGCAAATTTTGTTGAAGCTCATCACGGGGTTAGCCACAGAGTGATGAATTTGGGAGGACCACAGAAACTCACACTGACTAAATGCTAAAGGGTTGCAATCTAAATTGTTGACTGGGAATATTCACTCTGAAGAAACCACAGAACCTTGAGGTATTGAACTATCAAGGTTTAACTATGAAACTATTATGTATATAGTTAGAAGCTCTGTTTACATACTTAAACTGCTGTTTGACAATCTGAAAAACAGCCAGATAAATCAACAAAATTCCTAAATTTTACAGTCAAGACCAACTGTACAATGGATACAGGTTTAGGGACAATTTTTATGTCTAGGTAAGTGAGTAAAATATTTTTAATAGCACTGTATATTTTATATCTGAGAGATAAACTTTGAAGATATTTGTCAAAATAAATCACCCATTTACTCTATGCATCACTGCATTACTCTTGATTTGTTTTCAGCCATTTCAACTTGTGCTTCCTGTTGAAGTGAAACCTGATAGTAGTTTTGCTAAAAGATCTCAGACAACTGGACACCTGGTGATCACCATGCCAAAGGTCTGTAATGGATTGATTTCACACAAAGATAGTCTTTAAAATCTGCAGCTTTATGAAGAAACAGAAATTAAAATGGAGGCACACAGGGCCTCGGCACAAATCTCTGCTCTGAAAGAGACAGGCGTGACCTTGGACAATCCACATAAACTTTTTTTCACCTTAATTTCCTCATCTGTATAAAGAATGGTTTGGACCAGATTTCTAAGGTTCCTTCCTGCCCTAAATCTATGACCCTGTGAATCCTATGGCATTGAGTAGCAAATTAGCTAAAGGAACTCAGATTCTCATGTTTAAATCTGCTGAAATAGAATGATAGGAAGTTAAAGCTGAAAAGGACTTTTGATATATAGCATTCTAGGGTCATAGATTTAGAGCTGGAGGGGACTTCAGAGGCCATTTGGTCTAATCCCTTCATTTTACTGATGAGGAAACTGAGGAACACAGAGGTGAAGTGATACAGATAGTAAGAATCAGAGGTAGGATTTAAACCCAGCTGATCCTCTTTCCACTGGACATCATCTAGTCCCTCCCTCATTTTATAGTTATAGTAATTTAAGCCAAAGGGTATAATTAATACATATTTCTTATGACATATATATTTTTGAATATATGCTTTAGTGTGTTGCAGAAAACCCTAAAAGTTTCAAAGACAACAGATGCAGAAAAGCAACTTGATTCTTTTTTTAGTTATTTAGGTTCATTGTAGCAAGATACTCGTGCTACCCCTGTAGCTCTGTGGGATGTAATTAGATACCTTCTGGGGTGCTAGACCACCAGTGTGAGTGGGAGGTAAAGAAAATAGTCACAGAATAGGTACTACAAATGTAACATGTGCAAAACTGAGTTAATTATCTTTCCTCTTAAACTAAAGATTCTTGATTAAAAAAAAATTTGATGAGTATTTCAATATAATTGGTTTCTTTTGTAACCCATGAATTGTACCATACATTTAAAAATATTAGTTTGAAAAGACGTCCATCGGTTTCAACAGATAGCCAAGATGGGCCCAGGACACAAAAAAGTTAAGAATTTTTGTTTTAAGAGGAAAGATAATCAGTTCCCTTTTGGACATTTTGCATCTAATCCTTTGACCCCGTCGGGAATTTCTACTGTGATATCCTTGATTAGTCATCTAGTCTCAACTTGAAGAGCCTCCAGTGAGGAGGAAACCACTAATTTTCCAAGGCAGGCCATTCTACTTTTGGGCAGTTCTAATTGTTAAGGATTTTTTACTTTATATTCAGCCTAATTTGCCTCTACAAATTCTGCTCATTGTTTCTAATTCTCCCCTCTGGGGTCATGTAGAAAATTTCCTAAATTAGGAAAGCTATATAACTAGAATAAATGGTAATGGAAATGTGTCATTATCACAATTACTATTATTATTAATCACATTCCCTGAATGTGGACATTGTACCCCAAGAGTGATTCAGGCATTTTATAAACTCATTAAATGCAATTAATAAATTCATCCTTTAGTGGCCTAAAATAATACCTTATATCCTTGAAATAGTTGATCTGGCTTCCAGAAATGCCTAATTCACTCTTAGGGAGTTGTTTATAATTGGGGAATCTTGTTACTTTGTTTCATTGTCATAATTTTATCTTTTCTTGACATCAGAGCTATTTTTCACATTTCTGTCTTTTGTTCTTAAGAATTTGTGTACTTTATGTTACTTGATTCTTTATATACATTTATGATGATCTTTTAGATGGGACATTTTTTCTCTCTCATATATATATATATAGTATATATACTATAAATGACTATATTATATGTGTGTGTGTGTTTTGTAATTACATCTCCTAGAACATTCTAGAGCTTTTCTTCTTGAATTTGCTTACAGAAATGATGAACCTATCTGATATAACATATGGTAATATTGAAGTAGAGAGTTGATCATAGGACTCCTGACCAGTTTGGTTCTTCCAGACCACTTGATAAGATTGCATAATATGCAGTCTTAGGCTGGACCCTTTTCATATTTTGAGTATCACTTTGTATTTTGTAAAATATGTGTGACTTTGAATGGCTCACACCCTGAGTGGACCCTTAGCAGATAATTAAGGGTGTTAAACTGAAAGTCCAATTAACAGCTTTGAAGGAAGTATAGAAGAGCTTTGACACATCCTTGGTTCTTTAGGAGGTATGAAGATAGTCTTCTATCAGCTTGATGCAATTATCAGGCACCTGTTGATTAGCTAAAGGAGCAGTCGTATCTGGTGACTTTAAAAAGTCTTAGATAGAGGCGGAGCCAAGATGGCAGAGTAAAAGCAGTGACTTGCTTGAGCTGTCCTCCAAACCCCTCCAAATACCTGTAAAAAATGGCTCTAAACAAATTCTAGAGCAGCAGAACCCACAAAAAGACAGAGTGAAACAGATTTCCAGCCCAAGAAAACCTGGATAGTATCACGCTGGACTGGGAGACAAACCCAGTTCAGCATGGGTGTGCAGGTAAGGACCAGGCCTCAGCAAACCTGGAGCTGGCCTCAGGAGACTGAATCATGGGCAGCTGTGGCAGTTTCCAGATTTCTCAATGCACAGACGCCAAAGACAAATTAGAAGGTCGGTAGGAAGAGTCTGTGACTGTAGTGAGAGAGAAGCTTGGTCCAAGCCCTAGACCTGGTGCAGTCCTGGGGCAATGGTTGCTTCTAGAGCTCAGCCCACAGACTGAGGGGGAATTGAGTGGCTGATCAGAGGAGGATTGCAAGGATATCTTTACTGGTGCTGAGGGAGGATTCTCTTGCTTTGCCTGTGCTTGGATCTGGGTCACAGTTCTGGGTGGCTGTCCTGGGGCAAGGAGGAGTGTTGGCATGGTGGAGTTTGTAGTGGCAGTGAAGACAGAATCCTCCTTACAGTTCCAAGACAGAAAAGAGGGCTTGTGGTCAGTCATAGACCAGAGCACAGGCCAGGAAAGGAGGAAACACCTCGCCCTTGATCATACCACCTTAGAAGAACTGAAAACATACAGGTCCCTAGAAGTATCTCTGAAAACAGCTGCACAAAACCCCTGAAACTTGGGACAGTACATTCTCCACACTGGAAGGAGACCCCTACCTTAACAAAGAATTTAAAACTCAAGTAATTGGCTGGGATCATGAGCAAATCTTTCTTTGGTGACAAAGAAGATCAAAACATACAACCAGAAGGCAACAAAGTCAAAGCTCCTAATCCAAAGCCTCCAAGAAAAACATGAATCAGTCCCAGGCCGTGGAAAAGCTCAAAAAAGATTTTGAGAAGCAAATAAGAGAAGTAGAAGAAAAACTGGGAAGAGAAATGAGAATGATGCAAGAAAATCATGAAAAACTAGTCAACAGCTTGCTAAAGGAGACCCAAAAATATACTGAAGAAAATAACACCTTGAAAAATAGCCTAACCCAAATGGCAAAGGAGGTCCAAAAAGCCAATAAGGAGAAGAATGCCTTCAAAAGCAGAATTGGCCAGATGGAATAGGAAGTCCAAAAGCTCACTGAAGAAAATACTTCCTTAAAAATTAGAATGGAGCATTTGGAAGCTAGTGACTTTACGAGAAATCAAGACATTGTAAAACAAAACCAAAAGAATGAAAAAATAGAAGACAATGTGAAACATCTCATTGGAAAAACAACTGACTTGGAAATGGATCCAGGAGAGATAATTTAAAGATTATTGGACTATCTGAAAGCCATGATCAAAAAAAAAGGATACACATCATCTTTCAAGAAATTATCAAGGAAAACTGTCCCGATATTCTAGAACCAGAGGGTAAAATAGAAATTGAAAGAATCCACCGATCATCTCCTGAAAGAGATCCCCAAAGGAAAGCTCCTGAGAATATTGTAGCCAAATTCCAGGGTTGCCAGGTCAAGGAGAAAATATCGCAAAGCAGCCAGAAAGAAACAATTCAAGTATTGTGGAAGCACAATCAGGATAACACAAGATTTAGTAGCTTCTACATTAAGGTACTGCAGGGCATGGAATATAATATTCCAGAGGTCAAAGGAGATAGGATTACAACCAAGAATCACCTACCCAGCAAAACTGCATATAATCGTTCGGGGGGAGGGGGAAATGAACATTCGGTGAAATGGAGGACTTTCAAGCATTCTTGATGAAAAGACCAGAGCTGAATAGAAAATTCAACTTTCAAGTACAAGATTCAAGAGAAGCATGAAGAGGCAAACAGGAAAGAAAAATCATAAGGGACTTATTAAGGTTGAACGGTTTACATTCCTACATCGAAAGATGATATTTGTAACTCATGAGACCTTTGGCAGTATTAGGGTAGTTGGAGGGAAAAAATTTATATGTATGGATAGATTGATAGAAGGCACAGGGTGTCTTGAAGATGAATGGGTGATATCTGGAGAATAAAATTAAAGGGTGAAAGAGGATTATACTGGGAGAAGGAGAAAAGGAGAGGTAGAATGGGGTAAATTATCTCACATAAAACAGGCAAGAAAAGGCTTTTACAGTGGAGGGGAAGTGGGGGAAGGTGAGAGGTAATGAGTGAATCTTATTCTCATAGGATTTGGCTTAAGGAGGGAATAACATACACAATGGGGTATGGAAATCTATCTTACCCTAAAGGAAAATGAGGGGGGAAGGGGATAAGAGAGCAGGAGGATAGAGGGGAGTGGGTAATCAGAAGCAAACACTTCTGAAGAGGGACAGGGTCAAAAGAGAGAAGAGAATAAATGGGGGGGGATAAGATGAAGGGAAATATAGTTTTCCACAGCATGACTACTATGGAAGTATTTTACATGACTACATATCTATAACATGTATCGAGATGCTTGCCTTCTTAATGAGGGTGGGTGGGGAGGGAGGAAGGGAGAAAATTTGGAATCCAAACTTTAAAAATAAATGTTAAAAAATTGTTTTCACATGCAACTAGGAAATAAGATGTTCAGGCAATGGGGTATAGAAATCTATTCTATCCTACAAGGAAATAGAAGAGGAAGGGGATAAGAGAAGGGGGGGAGAGAGAGAAGGGCAGGCAGATTAGGGGAAAGAGTAT